TAAGGCCATATCTGGGCCATATTAAGTCGGAATACATCAAATCCGGATATGTTTATGTATGATGTTCTTGGTAGTACTGCTACGAGCCTATATGATAGGTAATAGCGCACATGAAACATGCTAGTGTAATCTTGATCCACGTGAAAGATGTCTGTCTTTTAGGTGGTTCATTTTTACAGGAAAGAGTCTCCCTTCTAGTCTATAGTCTCGACAGACAAGTCACGTTATAACTGATTAGCTATGGTAATAACTATATTTCAAGATACTCGAGAATTCTTTGCAACGCCCTGTGACAGTGTTCGCATCTTTTCACCCTCTTTATCATTATACGATTGCATTCAGAAGTATCTTATTATTCGAGGCAAAAATAAGCCGCAGAACCACAGTTTGAAAGAGCCGGAGAACCACTGACAGAGCATTTGAAAGAAAGAGCATTTGAAACCTAACAAAGAAAGATTGGTTGCGATATACTGCATGTATATAACTCGACAAAGCATTATTTATTTTTCATTACAAACAAAGTGTTTGGTGCATGAATATGGGACGAAAAATCGTCGTTCAAAATGTTCATGTTTAATAAGCATATTATATACCAAGAATAGGCTTATCTGGCCATTATCCGACTTACGACTTTAGATAAATTCAAATCAGGACATCTACTAACGTATATATCAACTTTAAATAACAATGACGAAAAATCTTACTCATGATAGGGCTTTGCAATTATACGACGCACGTAAATTTAAGTCTAAATCTCTTGTATTGTTATCTTTGAAAAAACTAAGTGAATAAATCAGTCGAAAGAACTTAGTTTTCCGCATGTTTTAGTATACATGCATTCTTTTACCTGGATGTTAAATAATAAAAGATATAAGAAGCATTTAAAATTTTCCGTGCGTGTTATGTGCGTAAGAAAAACGCGTAAGTGGAAAGCAGCCTATAGTCTTATAGAACAGCTTAAAATACCTAAGTCCTAAATACCTAAGTCTGTATTAGTATAAAGACGGATTTATAAGAATTTATTAATCCGTCAATTCACCCCCGCCTTTATACTAATGTATCACCTATGGCTATAATATTCAGTATTAGATTGGTATTTCAGGGAATGTGAGTTACCTTGGGGTATTTTACCAAAGCTCTGACTAGTTAAATTTGTGGCTGGTCGAAAACGACGCATGAGAATGCCTGCCAAAAACGGTTTCCGCATCGCACCGCCCTATATATACAATTAAATTGAATCGATTTTGGGTTATTTCACTCATGGCTTCAAGAAAAACAGAAAAACTTCGACAGGCAAAAGAAGAAGGAGAGAAATCTCGACAGCATGGCTGGAATTATCTCCAACAGAAAATCGAGGCTCGTGCTGGTAATGGCTGCATGTAATAATAATTATGCTTCATCGCGGATAGAATTATGAAGAATTTTTATAAACGCACAATTTAAAGTCCTTTTTCTTCATGTTTAAAACCTTCCTTCCTTAATCATCTTTACGAATAACATCTAGCAGTCGTAATGTCTGATATCTATATCCATAATGCCTGTATATTACTTATCAAATAGTCATTATATATAACTATCTTATTATTACTTAATACCATTTTATTTTCCAAATGATTACATAATTGATTTAGGATGTTAGCGATTACTAAACTTCAATGCACAAAGACAGTTTAGAAATTTCGATAAAAATTATTGATTTGAAACCCCGCATTGTCCAAAAAATTTATTGACAAATACTGATATATATTTGTTCATGATATATAAAAGCTTTATATGTCGACAGCATGGTTTAACTGATTTAAGAGCAAAAAAAGTTCCAAAAGGTGTTTTATATATTTTTTATATATTTGATTGATTCACGACTCAAATTTAACGCCGTCATTTATCAAGATACACTGCTGGTGTTTTATTTTACCGATTATTATCATGTCTGTATAGGCGTAGACTATACTATACACCTCCACTGCAGTCTACAGTCAATCTAAAGTTAAGCATTGAAAAGCGTAGGGGAAATACAGTGACACTAAATTGTTTGCTTTTTAGAATGTTTCCTCCATGTGTAACAAAAAAATCTGGAGTTTAGGACAGGATTCAAAAACCCGGAACTCGGCTCAATAAAGCCTTTCACTTAAGCTCCCATCTTTCGCGTCTCACTCAGTCGCTGACTAATAAAAAATAGCAAATTTGGTGATGAACTAGTATCAGGCAGTGAATAGTGAATCAGTACATTATTCATATATATTAAAGCCTAGTTTACGACCTTTCAAAGTTTGTGTGATAACAGTCGGAATATCGTAATAGGTAAACCCTATATAAAGAATTTATGACAAATATCCTCAGATGTTACCATGGCAAGTCATGCCGCAGCATGCTCCTAAAGCATAGGAACATAAGTCATGCCGCAGCATAACTCCTAAAGCATAGGAACCAGTGCAATATTCCATCCTCAACCTGGTCCAAGGCACAACTTAACGAATCTCTTGCTCGCCCTTGATAGACCTATATTTCACCAAATCTCATCATATTAAAATCAATTTACGCGCTTAACTGCCACGCGCAGTAAGAGTAATCAGAATTTCTTAATCCGTCCAATTCAAGCCGTCTTTCATACTAATATTTCCTATGATTTTTATTAGATTGCTAACTATCTTATAGAATTTGTATTAAATGACCTTGGCGTGCATTCCACGCAATAGTGCTTTGAGCGTGGTTTTGCATGTGGTTGGTCAACGAAAGTCATTCGATGTTGCTATTATTGCCAGATAACAAAAAAATACCTTGATGTTGATTGGTTAACAGGAGTGAAATCTTCTTAAAATTCAATTAAATTCCAGTCATCACTCGCTCAAGGAATTTTTCGTCCATATGTATATAGATGTTTTTCATGAAGCCTTTAATACACCGCCACAAACTGTTTTTTACATTGATTGAATCATTTTTTTATTTATTCCTCACAGCTCATGCGGAACAGTAACGGAAAAACATTTTTAATACATGCAGGAAATATACTGAGCTTCATCAGATAAACTCGAAGAATCTCAGTAACGCTGCGCACTTTGAAAGGTAGTCAGTCCTGATATCCTATTCCTCTTAAGAAAAACCTTCCTTCCTTACAAAGGCTTACATCTTTATAAAAAACATTCAGTAGCCATAATGTCTAATATTATATATTTATCCATAATACCAATGTATATCACTTAAATCGAATAGTCATTACCGATTTCTTTATTAACGTAATGCTGTTTTATTTGCGAAAATGTGAAATAATTGATTTAGGATGTTTGAGATTACTAAATTCCTCCAGGTATAACCGACAGTTTAGGCAGTTATTATATTATTTTGATTTTGAAAACGCCGAAATCTTAAAAAAAAAAAGCATTCACAACTAACCTATATCGGCGGCTGGCTTTGACTTGAGAGCAATAAAAGGTCTAAGGGTCTTTCCCATTAAACATAGTTCATACTTGATTCGTTCACATGCAAGCGATTACAGATTTTGCCCTGTGACTATATTTAAAAAAAGAGTACTTCTATTAGTCTATTTTTATAAAGTACTTCTGTTGGTCTAGCTATTTTAAGGATAACTATATCAATAGATTCAATATTTGTACTGCATATTGTCGTTATATAGATTTAATATATCTGCAGCTCCATTACCATTGTTCTCAACTTCCACAAAACATTGTAAAGGGCAGGGGATGCAGTAACACTAAATTGTTTGTTTTTTTAAAAATGTTTCCTGTGTCACAAGTTGGCCTGGAGTTCAGGGCTGGATTCCTAACTTGGAACTCCACTTAGTAAGATGGATCTCGATCTATATGCACAGATCTTTCGTGTTTCGCCGGCTAAAAAGAGCACTGAACTTGGTAATCAAGTAATATAATATCAGTATGCCATTTATATACCAGAGCCTAGTTTACAATTTCAATGTTTCGGTGAGCAGTATTATTATAAAATCCTTAAAAAAATTTGTAATAAATATCCAAGTGAAATAATCTTTATCACTATCTCTGTTCTATGAAATATTACCAACAAATTCTTTAGAACATGGAACGACCAACGCAATATTCCGACCGATGCAATATTTCTAGTTTAAACCGGGCCTGAGGCATCTTGATAAACTTGGCGACTCTTGGCGTCGACTTTGACAGACCATTTTCACCAAGTCTCAATTTACACCGTTTAACTGCCACGCGTGGTAAGGCCAGCCACTGCATAACAAGACAACGAACTTACCGAAGTCATGTCGTGAAAAGGTTTTGATATTCGTCGAAGCTTCGGTTATGCGAACTATAGCAAGACCGAATGAACCGCTATTAAAAAATTCACTTTCACTTTTGACTAGAGACTAGAGTAACGTAAATCTAGCTGAATCTTTCTGTTTTTCATTACTCAGGCAGGTTAATGAGTCCGTGGATTGCATATTCTGAAATTGCTTGATATTCATTATGATCGAACATGTACATTCAAGCCTGTTGATGTATGAATGCTTTATTAACTAGAGTATTAAAAATGTATTTTTACAAGTCAAACAAAAATTACCTAAAGATTTCTTATAAAACAACCGACTTATTCATACATCAGCGACACAAAGTACCTACGCAGAGCAATGAATACAGAACAAACGGGAAAAAATCCAACTGGGCCGCCTAAAATGTGCACCTAAATTCAACCTTTCACAATGCCACCGAGTATTTCTTGACAAAGTTTCCTTGCTGCTTCATTATAACCATCACCAAGCGTGCACTTTTAGGAGAAAATATTATTTCTATGCGGTGTTTATTTCGTCAGACATAATCTACGAAAAATCATCAATTCCAGATCTTCATAAGTTCCAGATTCCACTTCCACCGTTCAGTTTTCAATCACGTGCTTTCACTTGTCACTACGGAGTTTACTCTGTTGGTTTTTGCCCGTCATCACAGGAAACGTGTATTAAGCTCGGATCAGGGTTACTTGGCGCGCCCTTTATGTAAATTAGGTATAAAGCATTTAACCAGCTCCGAGTCAGTCATTATCAGTCGATCACTGGACCACGCAACATTTGGGTTCTGTCCGTTCTCGTCAAGTCAAAGAGATGGGTCTACAAAGTAAATGTGTAATCATTGCGCTCATCTTTGTCGTTGTTAGCAGTGTGACATTGGCAAAGAGAAGATGTGAGAAAATTAAGATACCGTTCTGCAAAGGACTTGGTTACAATACAACGATATTCCCGAACAATTTGGACCAGGATACACAAGATGAGGCGAAGCAAAGCGCAAGTGAATTCACAAGTCTTGTTAAAATTCAATGTTCGCCCGAAATAGCCCTCTTTCTCTGTGCTCTTTACGCTCCAGTATGTACCCAGATGCATAAACCACTTCCACCCTGTCGATCTTTATGCCAGAACGCTCGCGTTGGTTGCGAAGGGTTGATGAACGACTATGGATTCAAATGGCCGGATCGCTTCAAGTGTAGCAACTTCCCTGAACACGGGCTCTGCATTGGACGCAACGCGAGCAGCTCAAGTCATGAAACACAGAAATTAAAGCCAGGTAAGATTTTTATTCAAAAATATACGTATTTTACGAATAGGGCTTTAGTGGCAACTACACAGATGATGGTGACTGTTGTCTTCACAAGGTCGACCTAGCTTTCATTCACATATATAAAATGTACATGATAGCTCAAGCGTAGAGTATATTAGATAGTATTCTTCGACCTGTCCGTGATTACTGATTACCATGCAAGCGTGCATGACTACATAATTATAGCAGATGGCAGTGAGGTCAACAATTTAATTAATTGAGAAGAAAACACATTATTTTTTAAGTCGTTATTTTTGCATTAAGAGGAACGGGTTCTCACTCCATTACGCTCATTTCATTACAAGTTCACCAACATCACATCAGTTTCGCCTGGGTTCATCCTGTTCAGTTTAGGGTCTATGTTATTTCGTAAAAGCAAAAACACTTTCTGTAATTAATCAGAACATCTATAGATGCAGTTACAAATGAAGCGGATACATTTTGTGCGAAACTTTTAAAGCAAAAGTCTTGTGCTGCCGCTTATAGCTAGGCTCAAGAACAGACAAACTACGAGTCAGATCGGCCGATTTAGTCGAAATTAGTTGAAACGCGCAGAATTACTGATGTGGTCTTTAGTTTCGCTGTCCTGCTGTTCGACTTATTAACTCCATGCACCTTCCCCTCGGATGGGCTGACAGTAAATCCGTGGCATCCTCACCTAGTTTTACAGGATGCTTTTCCTGGCTTTTGGAATTTCTGCCCGCGAATGCCACAGAAAGAAATTTAACGAGGTTTTGAGGTAAAAATTGAAAGGAATCTCGACAATTAAGGGTCGCTTTGCTCTTCACGAATTTTCAAAATTATTCTACGGATAATTTGCGAATGAAATCTATAAGTGACGTTTGAATGCAAACGTTGATTGATCCATAATTTGAAATTTGCGTGACCTTTTGTTTTGCATTAACCTCGAAATAGCGTGTTTTGAAAAGTAAATTACATATACTGCCTAACAATGCGAACACAAAGAATTATTTCCTAAATATGTAATTCAAACGTGCCAGGGGTCCCAGTGAAGACAGTATTCAATAATAAAATATGTGGTTTGAGCTGTTTAAAAATATGACAAGGTTTCAACGCTGACTTTCCCGCAATGGCAAAATTTTGATACCATGACTATTGAAGTTATTTTAAACAAGAAATAGTGAGGGCGTTACGCGCACATCAGGTTTCTATGAAAATTAAAAAGAGGGATAAGTATAATTGATATTTAATCCATTTACTTTCAAGGTGAAAAAGATTAATTGCATTAAAAATTTGGCAAAAAAGATCCTAACTACGTGTGTGTTATCATGAATGGTTAGTTGCGCAAGTATTGCAATACACCACTCCAACAGTGAATATATTGCCCTCCAAGTTTATAACTTATATACCATTGCGGGTGAGATTTAAAGTCTTCAGTTATATTTCAAAAATCAAAGGAATTCAGTCACGCAAGCTCAAGCGTTTAACTCCTATTCATTGGGTCATACGAGGCTTGGAGAGAATTTCTTTTCTTAATTCCACTGTTATCGTGTTTACCAAAACGTTTGTTTTATAATGTTGATATATATTTACATGCATGCATGGTGGGTTTTTTAAAGGATATAAGCTTTTCCCCTGAAAAGTTATTAGCAGCAAATATATTCAGAAGAGAATAAGGGAGAAACCTTGTTAGACCTTGGCTTCAATATTATAAACAGTTTTCCTTAGAAAAACAATGCGAACAGACAGGGCAAAGGGCAAATCTAAATCACACATTTTGCAGAGTAATCCCATTATACAAACAACTTCAGATATTTGATCATATGAAAGGTTTTTACATTACACTGCAGGGAATAGTCAAAGACTTGCCGAAATATATAAGTCCCTATACTTTGCATCTTTGAGAGTTTATAAAATGTATTATATAATCCCTCTTAAATTCTCATTTCCTATAACATAATTTCATGTAAAAGGATTAAAGGTGCAAACGTAATATGCACCTCACGGCAATTGCATGCATGCATGCAGGAACATAAATATAGATTGGCTTTGCCAGATTGCCATTGCCTTTGGCTTATCATTACGAGCCTTATGCTTTATGTCTATCTATATTTCTCTGACAACTATATTTCAACTTAATTGCCATCCAACTACCATCGATCAATTTATGTCAGAAAATAAAGAATTCGAGATCTTTCCGACCGCATCGGAGGTCTTTGATGGCAGAAAATGAAATTTATTCTAGTTTTCACTCAGCAAGACGACATTCCGAGAGGTATACTTCAAGTGATGTTATGCAGGCCCCTGTTGTATCAAGCCCGTTTAGCTTAAACGGTGGATAAGTCAAAATTAAATAACACTCTTACAAGTTACATCTTTCTTGAATGAGTCAACTTGAATATTATGCACTGCCACTGAATATGTAGTTGTAAACAGTATCGTTGTATCAAGGTTAAAAACATTTAGTTTGCTTGTTGAATAAAACGATAGACTTGCTTTCTATTTTGAACTTAAGCTGAACGGGCTTGATACAACCGGCCCCAGAACGCTAGATCTATTAAAAGAACTTCATACAAAACATATTCAACACTGCAACAATACGTCAACCTACATCAACAAAAACTATTCTCGCGGTAAACTGTCAATTTGAAATAGACATGTCTCCACATGTCTATTTCAAATTCATATTGAACAGAAAAAACGGGGTTTTTCAAATCTGATTTTTTATCTTGTTTTTTCCTGTGTATACTGAAGAGTGGTTTGTCAGATTGACACATATCTTCATTTATAGCATTTTTTCTCTTCCGTGTGAAGCAAGATATTCCAGTTTGATAACAAAAGATGTACTTATCAGTACCTCAAATTCGCACGAAACAATTCTTTCCCCCCTCACTGCATGTCACTGTAGAATTTTTTGCTGAAAATATCGTCGAAATTAAAACTCTAAAATAGCACACTGATATTTCTATATTAAGAAAAATACACTAAAAATAGCGTCCGCAGTACTGGAAATCTTAAAATATCTTGAGTATAGCACCTTTTTTAGCATATGAAGCAAGACAAACTATACTTCAGTTCATGATAACGGGTATGAGAGCACTTGGCAAGAATTTTTCATTTGGAGTAGTCGACCACTTAAAAATTGATTGCTCTTGAGTGATAACACAATTTTCACTTGAAAAACATGTCTAGCATATTGTCATATACCCCGGAACACAGGCCACATGTATGAACACCCCTGATTAATACCAGTGAAATGAAAATAACATTTATCACAGTTCACTGATTAAATACCCTCGCAATTTGTGTACTGATGATAAGAGATTGCCAACTGCCAAAATGACCGCGAAAAAAAAGAGATAAAACTGGAGTACGAAATTCGATCTACTGAAGTTTGTAAAGAAGAAATTAATAATATAACCTTTAGAGGAAACAAGAAAGAGATTGCATGAGGGTTGATTAATCTTATTACAAGTTATCATTCGCTCTGGTCAAGGAAAGAAAAAAACACCATAATAATTTCTTATATATGTTTGAACCTGATCCATGTTCAATACGAGAGGATGATGGCTATTTATGAAACGCGAGAAAAGATAGTTAGTTAACAGCACTTGAATCTCGTCAATTCTCAAGCCCCGTACTTCCTATAATAACCACAATGTGTCGGCCAAGACATTCAATAATAGCCATGCGGGGGTAGAATTATTCAATCAAGACACCGTCGTGCAATTTGCGACCTTAATGGCTTCAATAAAATGTTGTAAATATCAGTGATTGATAGCAAGAAATCAATTTTATAATGTTGTTTGACCTTTGGCGAGTAATGCCGATGAGCTTGTATTATACAATCAGAAACATTGGGAAGTGAAGATAATATCCGCTTTTTCATGTCAGGGTAAATGAATTCATAGCTATTGAACTATTCATACAGGATTACCAGTATTACCATTCATTATGACGTCATAGTTGTTATTTAATCACCCAAATGACTACTTTAATTTATAAGGAAATCTGTAATCCCAAATGAAGGGCAGATCAGATCGTAATTCGTACAGAAATCCAGATTAAGAATCAAAAGTCTTTCTAACCAATATACCTAGGTACATATATAGTGTTTTCTTCCACATGTAACAGGCGTATAGGAAACAAAAGCAGCTTAAGACATGCATTAATTAATTAATCGGCTTAAATTGAACCAAATCTGCGACACAGACATGAAGAAAATCTGTCGCATATTCTCACAGTTTCACTGCATGAAATGAAATTACTTATCTCGGTTGTTGAGCAGTAAGGAAGGTGAGTGAAACGGAGGAAACAGGAATCCTAAACATTTAGGTTTTATAACATTTCCGTGTCGCTGTTCTTGGATCTTGCGACACAAACCCAGAAAATATTTTCCTTATCCTGACAGTTACAGACTTGCTTTTCCGTTGACAAACAAAGTCACATACACGACGCGGTAGGGTTCTGTTTCTAAAAATGTCAAGTTGAACAAGCAATTTGCCTTAAGAGCGCATGCGTCTTCTATTACGCATGGGGGGTGAAATTGCCTTTTCATGCAATTCTACTGACTTTTCCACACATTAGTATCCAGAGCAAGAGTTGATATCACAGTAAATTAATCGATATCCAAAGGTCTTTAAAATCCCCTTTCTGATGTTTAATGCATTCATTGTCTAGATTAATTACACTATAATCTATAGATACGGATCAGTCGGATCATGCTGTTTCAACTAAATTACATCGCGCTTTTACAAATTACAAAGAGCAGTATCTGCCTGAATCGTGCACGCTTTTCGTCAATTTGCGCTGTCATTACCCTAATACATTTACTGAAGGTCTTCTACGTTACCGTCGATTTTGTGCAAATTAAAAGTGAATGTTAAAAAAGATAAGGATCAATGCCACTGAGACTTGTCGTCTCAAGTGTCGGCTAAGGCATCCATCGGTGTCTCCGTTTTTGCTTTCTTCGACTGATAAATCGAATAAATAGTTTCCGAATCAGTGTCCGGTTATTCTCATTCATTTAATTCGTAATACAATATCTTTGACGGATATGACTTTCTTTCAATTACATGAATCATATCAGAATGGAGAATGGTCTTACCGAATGTCAGAACACGTACTAATTCAACCTATTAGAAGTTGCCTGTTTTAGTTCTACCATTTATAGTGACTTAGTACTTTATGTAGTATAGTTTATTTAGATACTTTACTAATTTGGACATTATTAACATATATAGAGTTACACGAGGAAAAACAAGCGGGGTCTATTAAGATGGCTGTGTATCTAGACTCGTTGTAGCAAGGAACTTTAGTTTGTACATTAAAATATCTCATGAATAAAATATGAGAACATTACACCATTTTGTCCTTTTTTTTACAATCACAGCCAGCCGGAAACTATGTTATCTAGTTTCCCTGCCTCTGAGAAGCATAACCAGCGAGGAAACTGTGAAAAATGAACAGTTTCTGTGTTAAATCAGAACTATGATCAAATCTAGCTTTTGTGTTAATGGTTTGTGTGCAAGCTTTTCTTAATCTTGAATACATTTCGTTTTGCAGGCAAGAAAGTCTCGGTGCACAAAATCCGTAAGAAGAAATGTGCGAAGGAGAGCCACGATGGGAAGCTTTGCTGTAAACTTGGTCGAAGAGCGGCAAAGAAAGGTTATTATTGTAACTTGAGAAAAAAGGACGATAATGAATCTCGCAAAACTATCAGGTTCCGTAAATTGGTGATCAGAAAATGCTCGCTCCACAGCTCGTGTTTCCGTTCGTGCTGTGAAGTTTCCTTGAGAAAACGTCGAAGCAACAAACGAAATGCAAAACGAAAAATCAAGAACAGAGAATGAACAAAACTGATGACGTGATGCAAAATCTTTTAGCCTGTGTATGAAATATAAAGTAAATCGCACATTTTTTTCTAGGGGGTAGTTTATATATAATATGTATAATAACAGCTGGTGATTTACAGGGTTTCATATCATATGCTTCTTGTAAAACACTATTTTGAACTTAACAATCTTTAGTATAATAAAGAGAATCTAACAGTAAGTGGTTCTCTCGCAGGACAATCATAAGCAATTATACGTTTGTCATTGCATCCAACACAACATAGAATTTGCGCATGTTAATGTGGCTCCCCGCAATTTTCGAAATGAACTGGTCATTTAGTTTTTTTTTTAAAAATTAATTCTTGTTAGAGAACGAAAATTGCTGCTGTTATATATAGAAACATATTCGACTCGGTCCTCCGATTCGAAATTTTAAAACGTTCTCAGGCGAACGTGTTTTTACAAACTTACCGCATGCTTTACTTCTCTAAAAAGAAACATTTTATGAAACAAATAAAAAAAGGGGAACTTCCAAAATATCTTTAAAGTAAAACGCGTTAGAAGGATAGAATCACCATTTTCTCGATATTTTTCGACTACCAGGATATGTTTGTGTCACAATTTTTTTTCTCTAACAAGAAACCTGTTTCCAAAAAATAGCTTATCAAAGAGGCAGCACTGAGCGCTATATAGTGCGCATGCAAATGGTGAATTATCAGAGATAAATATTTGCATGTTGGTTTTGTATTTGGAAATATGAAACACAGAAGTGCTAATTTAGATTCAGCTGATGTAAACACACGCACCAATATCCGTCAAGTGGATTTGTAAAGTATAATATAATAAAGAAAATTATTGAAACTTACTACACCGATTTCTTTGTTTGTTTTCTTGTCTTTTTTTCAACTTTTATCTTTTGTATGCATGTCACCTGAAAAATCAAACACATGCAGGGATATGTTATTAACCCAACTAAGATTAAAAACTCTAATTTTGGTCGCTCATAATATACGCAACGCCCTTATGGCCATTTCTTGACACTCTCTACCCTTTTTCTGACGCTGAACCACATATCCCATCACACACTGATCACCAGTGAACGCACGTCTTTCCACTTGACGAATTTGGTGAAAAACATATCATGACGTGATTGACTAGAGTTCAAAATGTTGACTGATGCCCACAAACATTTTGACTGGGGCTTGGGTCTATTTGTGTTCTGCGAGTTTCTTGCATATAAGAAAAATAATTATTTAATTTTTGCAACATTGTCATTAACCGATTGTCAGCTAGCGTCACGTGAGGCTACAACAGACACCACTCACCCCATCCGCGTTCCCAGGCGTACTGTGTGTACTGCAGTACGCGAAACACCTGGACACCTGGTAGTGAGGATGCCATCTACCCCTCTTTGACGCTCCCTCAAACATCGCCACACTCCTCAGAGCGCCACGTATTTTTATGAACGGCCTCTATCGGCTAATTTACGATCAAACTTGGCAGAAGAAGATTGAGACGAGAAGAATACGAATTAAAGTCTTATAGTTGTTCTTAGAAATTTTTACTTCAAAAGAAAAATGATTTCAAATTCAGACAGCGTAAACATAGAAAATACTTCTTGCTGTAGTGGTGGTGATGCTAGACCACAGGTAGGAATCGATCATAACGCGTCCTAGTGGCAGTGTAACACAGATATTAGGGTAAATTTATATGAGTCATATGACATGTCGATTCTGTGAAATGAAGAATGGAAACGTCTGAGTGCATTTCCTGTTTTGTCAGCGGCCTACACCAATAGATTTAATAATTAACCGGAAAGGAATCTCACATTACAAATACTTCCAGACGACCAGACGCAATATGCAAACCACTCACCCTCACTGTGACCGCTCATGCGCAGTATTGCAATATTTTCAATATTTTCAATATTTTCTTTCTATGTAAGACTATGACAATGTTCAGTCTTCTTAGCGTTATACACAAGAAATTCTTTATAGTTAACTCAAATTGAAAAGTGAAAACTAGAAAATCTACTCTGGTAAATGTTTTATGTTTGTTGACAAAATCTCGAGTACTTTTCTTCGTCTGAAGTCAGCGAGCCAATTAATGAGACGGGAATTGTCACAGAATACGAAAATGATTTCATATGACCGGACTCATTATGAAATAAATGAAACGTTGGTACGTTGATGAGAAATGAGAATTTATTCAATCAATACGACATCATTAATTGCCATTAGCTATTTGATACGGCCGTAAACGCAACTGGCATTTCAACAAGATCTATACGAATATCTCTAAACAGAATCGTTACATTCAATAATACGATATAGGGTCATATAGCTTCACAATTTTAAATTTAAATCTATGCTAATTCTTGTCTATGTTTACTAAAGCGTGCAGTGACTGCTGTCCTCTAGGAAACGCTAACAATTGCACCTTGTGCTTGGTTTGTTTGTGGTTTGTTATGAGAGATATATAAAATGCGAAACCATACGACCAAAAGGTCGTACAGTAACATTTAACTCCGCCTTTATGTTGACATTCTTCTAATACCAAGAGCACATGACTGCTACTACGCACAAAATCAAAACAAAAACATTACGACGATGGCTGAAGTCGAAGACGATAGTAACGAAGAGAAGTCGAGAGAACTTGAGTTGAATCTGAAGAGAGAATCTGAGATTGTAGCCGAGTTTTGTAACCTCCTTGAACAGTCCAGACAGTGGTTTAAAAGTTTAAGGTGAAAATGTCTAGATCTAGCCTTAATATGGTGGCTCAAAGTACCTCTTACACGCCTTCGCCAAACAACCATATTTCTGCGTAACTTCAACTGTCTTTCACATTCTATATTGTTGAGGACGAGTGTTCTTAACATGTGACAAGAAATCTTTGAAATCTATTTTAATCCAGCTTTGGTTGTACGGTGCTTGCTGTATATCCTTGTATATCAGTACTCGCGTGCTCCGCCGACCACCACTACATAGTTCATATATATATACATATATATTGAACTAATGTAACAGCGTTGTAAACTCCAATTTATTCTACTATAGTTTGCGTACATTCGCGTGTATAAGTTCCCGGATTAGGATTGTGTAAAGTTCGCGTACATTCGCGTACATAGGTTCCCGGATTAGGATTGTGTATAGTTGGCGTACATTCGCGTACATAGGTTCTCGGATTAGGGATTAAGATTGTGGTTAAGATTTGAATTAAAGTCAGGATTAAGTGTGTATTAAAATTCTGGTTGTACGTTTAAAACCAGTTTTATAATACAGATTTACATATTTTTATACGTATGTAAAGAAAGGCGTCTGTATTGTTGTACTAAGGGTTTAAAAGTCAATTTATCAATTATTTATTTGATTTCGCTCTTTAGAGAGCCTTGAAACTAAATTTGTATTTAAAAACATGTTCGCAGAGATCTGCCACAGTTTGGACACAAGAGTTGGCAAACACAATTTGGAAGAACGTTTGATATCTACACTAAGGTCAGGTTACTGTTTGCGTCAACGCATTTTTTGTGCCAAACCAAATTATATTTTTTTCGTGTTGATAATTTTCTCGTTTCCGGATATTATTGTTTAATTAAAGCCGGTTTTCCACTAGCGATATTTCGAAAAATATTGCTAATGGAAAACCGGCTTAAATGACTTGCTCGATAGTTTTTGTATGCACTGGTGACTGGTAATGGTATGAATTAATATTTTTCCTCCAAATGCATATTTTCCACTATAATATTTTAGTTTGAATTGAAGTGATTGTTCTTCTCACTACCATAAAAAATAAAACGATGCAATAAGTCAAATAAAACGATGCTTATTCGCAGTATTGAGTTTGGCTAACGATAAGCTGGGCCTGAAACCTGCAAATTTGGCGTGTTCTCACTAATGCTGATTGCAAAATAAATGCAGAACGAACTTTCGGAACTATAGGCGAACTTTCATCTCTTCATATTCCGGAGTTTTCAGAAAACCGTAGCTCCCAGAAAACTAACAAGTCACAACTTTCCGTCCTACCAGGGTGTTACGCTGTTACCTCACCGTTGCTCATATGTTTGGACGATGATTAATTCCAATAACTCAAAATTAAAATTTCGTGTTCACAAATTTTAGCTGTGGAAATTTCAGCAAGAAAATAGATCAGTTTTGGACAAAAAGTATAAGTTGAAAAGATGGCAGATTGGAGAAATTGCGTCGAAAATTGGCCAACTCTATTATCATTACTAGTAAGAACCGGAATATATCTTTTGCATTGATCAAAGTGTTTTATGGCTATTTTAAAAGTACTTATAATGGCTTTTTTGTGTAGCTTGCGAACCAGTGAATGCAACTACTTGTTAGAAGCATTTTCATTCTACACAGCCATACGATCACGAGCTTATTACACGAACGCAAGTAAATTTGAAACGTAAGCATACAAGACTATCTGCATATAATTCTATTGGATCTGTTTATCAGTTTCTTTCTAAATGACAATCTCTATTTAATTGGCCAGAACGACAGAAAATAACCAGCACATTTCTCCTAATTGTCTAGGTCTGACCTAATGGTGAAAAAACTCCGTTACTATGCAAGATTTATTGTTGTTACTCTTCTTTTAAACAAAATGGACTTTGTAAAGGAATTGGTCAAGGTAATGTACATCTGCATGATTGATCCATCACTGATCATTACCAAGGGTAGTAAAAACCAGGTTAATTTCTTGAGTTCTAATAGTACCATCAGTAAATACATGTTTTCACATCAACCAGATGGAATATATTTTACATCAATCATCAATGTTCATAAATTTCTTCATAGGAATTTAGGCAATATATAGATGAATATACAATGATATATAATCCCACAGATGAGGATGACTGGAGATTGGTAGTAAATGAGGTCACATCATTTTGCGAGGTAATATGTAATATGTCTCCTCCTTTTCAGTACATATTAGCAAGTGAAATCTGTAAATTCATTAAACCTTTAGCAATGACCTCAGGCAACATGTGAAAAGCATAGGAAGCCCAGACAAAGGAGTTGAAGTTAATAAAAATCCGTAAAACACTTGAGATATGTGTTAAAATTAATTAAAGTATGTAATATGCTGCAAAACTACTGTTAGAACCATGTATGTAGCGTGCTCCAGAGGCGCTGCCATTTGACTATGCAACTAGTGATGTAACTTACTATATCATATAGTAAGTTACATCACTAGTTGCATAGTCAAATGGCAGCGCCACTGGAGCACGCTACATACATGGTTCTAACAGTAGTTTTGTAGCATATAACATACTTTAATTAATTTTAACACATATCTCAAGTGTTTTACGGACTTTTATTAACTTCAACTCATTTGTCTGGGCTTCCTATGGTGAAAAGTTGCAGAGTTCAGCATCTGCACCAGCACTCAAAAACAGCTAGTCCACTCATGATTTATTTACAAAAGCAAAATACACTTTTACCTCATGTTGTTTGTTGGGAGATTATTCAATTAAGGCTGTTTACTTGTTTAATAATGATCAAAAGTATAAAAATTTGGGAAATTATTAAGAAAAAACAATTACGATTAAAATGTATACCCTAATCAATGTTATAAAATATAAAAAATTAAAAATATATTATTTGGTAAATTTTCACGTCAGAAGCAGAGAAATAATATCTTAATGCTAACACTAGCTGCTAAAAGGATAATCAGTTTGGTTAAGAGATCAACTTACTTTTAAACTTCTTGAATATTTAGTATTAAAACAAAGAAACGTTACACTTCTTTTTCAATTTTCATGAGAGAATTTTCAGGATCCTGGAATTAAAAAGCTCTCGACACTACTGTATGTAGTTTTTAAAGTGAAATGACACAGCGATACAGTTTCATCATAATGACTCGATCAGCAGTCTCAGTTTAAAGTATTTTCTACGTGCACATGATCTGTCCTTTTTTTTCTCATTCTTCTTCTCCGCCATTATGATATATGCAAATCAGGTACAGGCCTTGGGCGCCAATTACCTGCAATCAGGCAGTGTGGTGACGCACTGTGGTGACGCCGCATCACCAGATCACCCATTGCAGATCACCGCGCATCACTCTCTACATCAAAATTCCATGTTTATCGAAAAACGTGGAAATACCTCAATAATCGTAAAAGCGATTAAAAAATATAGGTTACATATGATTACAAGGGACCTCAAAACAAGAAATGAGATGAATCGTACCCACGACTGTAAAACAAAAAGTCAAAATGCCTGGATAAGTTAATTTTTGTAAATATTCCTATTAATTAACTGAAATGTTTTTCAAAATATTTCTACATTCATTAGGCCGAATCGCTGGTCACAGTTATGAATGCAGACGTTACCCCCCGAGTGCTATCGCATCGCCTGAATTCCGAGGTACGTTTTGCTGTGTAAAATATCTTAAAGAATTGAACTATTCTGTTGTAATTCAAATTTCAAATCGGATAAACAAGGGATTTGATCATGCGATTTAATGGTTGGCAATGATTCTGATTCTATTGAGCTGCCAGTTTTGTTCGGAATGATTTTTAGTGCCTTGATTCAAATAATTTGTTTCCCCTTCTCCATTTCAATTCGCATTTGACAGTCACATCCCAAGGATTCTAGAACAGACATCAAACCTGATGAGCTTTGCTAGTATATAAAACTCTGCTGATTTTGCGTTGGAATGGTATTTTAATCGAAGCTTTATGTTTCCAGAGACCTGTAGGAGAGAGTGAGCGACCTTCGTTATCCTTACAAGAGATAATCATTGTAGGAAACAGAGAGAAACAGGTGAAATTTAGTGAACTGACTCTGGACATGTTTCGTATGTTACAAGCACTCGAGAGAGAGCCAGACGAATATCAACCTTATTCCTTGGAAAATTCCACAGACTTCACCAAAGATCAGGTACACGCGAGGGTTGCTACTAACATCAAAGTATGATTCGTCCACTAAACAAACTGCGGTGCAACGACTCAAGTTTTGAAGTGCAGAACTAGAATATATTGTTGTTGATTCCATTCCATTTTTCCATCGATTGTAATGAAAAATAAACGAAATTCATGAATGCGCACAAGTTTTCAGCAAAGATAGTTTTTACCTAGCATCGTGTTGCACCCTCTCAAGTTGACCGCCAATGTATATAGCATTTCTAATACCCTTCATTCATATAGATGAGAAAGGAAACGGTACCATCGAAAAGACCAAATCCTCACAAATATTTGTTGTATAAACCGACCTTTAGTCAACTATTCACGTTCCTGGCTTCAGGATTTAAGGTAGATTTAAATCTATTCAATTTATAGGGTCGATAAATCTTAATGTAAAATGGAACTAATTATAACTCATTTATGCAACATTCTCAGGAACTACCGCAAAATGCTGTGATGTTGATCTATCTATCTGCAGACAGTCACAAAGTGGAAAACAAGCACACAGACGGTATATGAAAGAGATGTACCATTGTTTTAAGGACCTTCTTGTTTTGAGGAGCAAATAAACAATAAACTGTCCACTGTATAGGTCCATATGGTCAAGGAGGTCTCAGAATGTCCGTTCACAAGGGTTTACAGCCTGCAAAAAGTACACGTATGATACAAAGCAACGTGAATGAGACAAACGCGTAAGTGGGCATACTTTAGGCACCTTTGGAGTGGCATTTTATTGGGGTTTTTAAGTGGGTTCCTTCAAGATTGATTGATTGATTTCTGTAAAACGACAGGATAATATTATGTACGACAGGATAATATTATGTTAGTCAGTGTTTGAAACTGAAGGGGAAACTTTGTGTGGTGTTTATATGATCTTGAAGTGGAAGGTTTTGTGATGAAATTTCAGAATATATCCAGACGACTTAATACCATTTACAAGAAAAGCAATGATGTTGATTGTAGACAGCGAAACAAGTACTTCTTTTCAGGTAAATTAGGATTAACATCAAAACAGGAATTTAATTTTTTCAGTTGCTCTTGGTTGTAATCTAATCAACTGCCATTATTTCATCTTTTAGTCTCTCTCAAGTGTTTTTGGTAATCCTGTTGTTGTCTTGATGTCTCCATCCAAAGTTCCACATGCGTTACAAGGTGAGGTGATGAGCAATGGATACGATATCCTATTCTCTTCTTACAGTTACAGCCCATCGCACATAACGAGTAATGAGTGAAAAGTAAGAACATTCCTAAGCCTAACATGCCACTGAACACAAGATTTTAAAGACTCGTCAGTTTATCAACCGAAATCGAGTTAGCTTAGCACTACAATGTTATTCAATCGTTCTTCATTTTTTTTCAGATACTTTACGCAAAGGCAATGTATTCACACTGTTCTTACACAACCCATTGGTGGCATTTTTGTACGTGTGTAACATCACAAATATTCAAGTTGGATTGTGGGAGCAATGTTGCCAACAGCTGCGAGGGTTTGAGGGAGATTTGATCAGACTCTTTACGAAATTATCAAAAGTTGTTGGTAAGATTCATATTCAACCATTGCATTCATTAAGTAACATAAATATGTATTGAGGTGTCCAGGTAACAATTGAATAATTTAATTAGAAATTTGCCATTCGCTCCAATCACCGGAGTACCTGTAATACTCCCTTATATAGGGACCCAATATTGTGTACTTTTAGCATACAAGTAATAACTGATTATTGATCGAGCATGAGGTCTGTACTGTGAAATATCAGACCGATGCTTTTTAATATGGACCGAGCGACGAAGAAGTGAAATATCCAAGATATTGGTCCACGGTCCGGATATGGGTTTTACAGACCGCTTGTCCATGAACCAGAATGGAAGATTTTGAAAAGTCAAATAATGTCTATTATTTCTATGACTTTTAGGCTCGTCTATAAGGCACTGCCACTGGGTTTTTTGTGCATATTCATGTCCAGACATTTATTTTCTAGATATTTCATACATTCAAATGATTGACGATGAATTTCTAGCATTGATGATTCGAAGATTTATATTTTGTTACTATGTAACTAGACAACATAGAGCTTTTAAAGTAAGTCTTCCTTGCAAGATAATGTTGACTTTATTACCGCATATAATGTATGGGTTTCTTTTAGAATTATCAGTGGTCGAGTTTTCATCGAATGTTTTGACGCGTATGGTGCACCACTGTGTGTTCACCACTGGAGTTAGCAAATGATACAAAATTTCATGCATTTTTGCTAAGATGGAAACTGGACTAAATCACTCCTATTACGGAGTCTCAATTTTGACTTGAAACCCAATAATTCAATTTGGTTTGTTGCGATGGTTATTAAGACAAAGATATGATATTAACGTTAGAGGGGGGAAATATCGTATGTGCATGTGAAAACATTGTTTTCTTGTTTTTACAGGGTGTGGAGTATTTTCCAAGTTGTTCTCCCAGTTTCCCACCTCAACTTATTGAAAACGAAGACTTGCGCAAACGTGTGCTAACTCTCTCTTCAACGTTGGACGTACGAGGATTGTTTTATGAACTAGAAGACATACCTTCCGTAAACTGCTGAGTATACTTGCCTGAAATCATAGTGTGTATTTATACGTGTATACATGTAATTAAAATTGTTCATTATATTACATATAGGTAGAAATGTAACTGTGAGTTGACGCAGGTTTAACGACCTAAGACTACGAATGAGAATTTAAATCCCTTAGGCCTTGGTTATACGTCGCATTTTTGGCGCGTCGAATACAATTCAAACAATAGATAATGAAATGGTAATGAAGCTGGTTTATTATCCCATTATCAATTGTTTAAATTGCATTCGACGCGACCAAAATGCGACGTATAACCTAGGCCTTAGTTGAAAAGGTATTATGTCACTCACTGACCTAGAATTTATAGTATTTAGTGTGCATGACGAGTATTTTGCGCTGTCGTAATCTACGAAATAATATATAATATCAATAATCAAATGTGTAAAATTTAGCTATCATCTAACAGACTTCTCGAAAATTAAAGATTATCGTAAAATTTATTGGCTACAACGGAGTGTTTTAAAAGTTTCATACAACGGCAATGTTACAACCAAACAAAAAGAAGGGAGATTTAAGTCAATAAGTTCACGGCAATCAATAAGTGCCGGTGTATCATCCATCGCAATATCTACTCTGGCTTAATTAATGAAAGTAATCATTCACCACACAAAGATTACATTCACGACCCAGTCAGCTAGGAAAGTGACTTGCCACCATGGCCACCACCCCCCCCCCCCCCTATACGACGTCATTTCAGGTTTATGCTGCACGGTAGACCCGAATTATAAATATTTTAGATCAAATTTAAGTTAGTCACCAGCAGACTTTCAACGGTCAAATCTGGTAGAGAATTGGAAGGTAGTGTTCACAACACACTGTACTTTATTTACCCCCACTTCATTCGTTGTCCTAAATTAAGTTTCAAATCAAATGTTCTATTTTTTTTCTTTGGCATTTATTATCATCATTTTATAACATTCTATGAATTTTATATTTCTATGAACAATTCCGGGTTCAATAATTATTCTAAATATATAGCGAATACATTGTAGTTGCATATACGAAATATTCTAAAAAAATGAGAGATTTGATGTCACATCGTTCTTAATGCGATATATTGAATTGCATGTGTTTTGGGCAATGGCTTGATTGAAGCACAGTCGAAAAACCTCAACAACAGTGGGACTCTAGGACTGAAGTGAATTTGGGCCGAGACAACGTTATGCGTACGGTTGCCTAAAAAATCACATCGTTGGCCACCAGAAAGTCGGTCACCATGATGAGATCTTGTACCTCGGGCTATTTGGTGGCCACAACTACATATCGTACATGCATTTAGTGTAAAAATATATTCGTGCTCGCATCAAACTTAAATTGCCCGAAAAAAACACAATGAACAGAATATATAAAGTTCTACGATAATCTACAAGGAAACAGAATATTGTTCAATATGATAATAATACTAGCCAAATGCAGGAATCCAATGTCTACAAAATACACCTAAGCTCAATTCTTGTAGACAGTCTCAATAAGAGATTTCAAAAATTCCTATAATATCACTAATCATGGCCTACAGTATAAACTTTAAAACTATAAAACTATAGCTTTACAAACATATCCTGTGGTCAACGGTTGAACACGTAATGTATGTACTTACGAATTCATTTGAAAAACATACCTCCATAAAAATATGGTAAACCTATATCTTTGATAACCATAAATTTTCTCTGCAGCTATAACCATAGGTAAAGGAATCGGCAGGGGGAATACGTGGGTTCTACTTCTAAGGTTGCTGGGTGCAATAAGTAACCATGGTAACTAGCGCGACGTCGCCGACGACTATGGATGTATAACACTGGATGTATAACCATATGTGTGCCGATAAGCAAACGAAGATCTGACGTGTGTCGCCGAACATCTACGATGTTTGTTGGCTTTTCTGCTCTTTCAGTAGCTGTTCCAGGGGGGACATGCTACTTGGCGCAGAATGAAAACTCGAACCCCAAATGGACTACAGAAATTAGGGCGTACAGCATTAATAAAACGACTTTTCTACACTGGATAGATATAGCCAGTCATTCGATTTGGACCAGGATAACTACCTGTATACTTCATTTCAGGGGGTAACTGTTCTGCCAAATACCAGATACCTTATATTGATTCAGTAAAAAGTCTAAAAGACGTAACATGCAAAGACTGGGGGGCTTTGTGGAAAGGGTGGAACCTACCCAATAAGGGGCCGGTTGTATAAAAAAGTAGTTAACTTTTAACTATAGTTATAGTGGCAGAATTGGTCAATCACTGACAATCAGAATTTTGTAGTTAACTACGATTTAACTACTTAAAATGTAGTTAAGAGTTTTTATAGAACCGGCCCCAGGTAATAAATCATGGTCACATATAGTTTAATGTTACTTAACGTACGTTCCCAGTTCCATTTGTCTGAGGTTTCACCCCCCCTCCGCTATCATGGTGACCATTCCCAGTAATATTTCCCAGTGGTGACCACACACCCAGTGCAATATTCAGGCCAAAACCGGACGGCGGTTTAAACGCCTTGTCACCGTTAGGCGACGGAGATACGCGATTTCCAGGCGACAATGGCCGATTGCTGCCAACTGCAAGGGATGTTGGGGGAACGGGCAGAGAGGTAGGAAAAGTCGGGCTACGATGACTTCCGACTGCACGAGAATTTACGAGCGGTACCGAGTCTTTGATGTCCGTGGTGCCAGTCGGTTTGGTTGGATGACCGGATGAAGCAGGGGTCGCGATGGGTGAAGTGGGGACAAAATTGGGCACTACGGAGGAAAAGATTAGTCAGTGAATACCAATACGCAACAATACGTGTCTTGAAATGTGTTTCGCATGCGGAGTGCTGCCGTTAGTACGGTAGCGGCTAGTAGTCTCAAGTGATCTCACGAACTATGTAAACGCATATCACACCTGTATTGCCCACTGTCAATGGAACATTCCAATTAGATTGAAACAAAGAATATTGGCCCACTTGATCGTGAATTGGAGATGGTGGGTCAATTCGACTATTTCGTTGAGATGAATCACTCGCATTACCAAATAACGAACTAGTTTCTGAGAATGGAGTTGTCGCCCCGCGAGAACCATCAATTGCCTGAAAGAAGACATTTTAGATGCTTGAAAATTACCATAAGGACTCTTGGTTGAAACATGCAAAAAATATGAGGTATCACTGAAGAGGATGTGTTGTCTTTGCTTGAACGTACGTAGTTTTCAATGCAACAACGGCATTCAAAAGAAGAGCTGGGAATAATGTTATTTGGCAAAATAGAGCAATTGTCAACAAGGAAAATGTAGAGCTAACAAGTCGTTGTTGAAACAGCATTCGTCCGTTTCACCAGTGGCGTACAGGAGACGATAATTGGGGGGGGCACATATTCATATATTTATGTTGTGCAAGATGAATTTCTTTTCAATGATAACTTCTTACAGAGATAAACTTGTAGTAACCATTCTCCCTCTTTTGACAGGAAACAATTCTAAAAATGATCATGTCAAGTTAACACCGGAAAAGTCCAAACTGTATAGTCCATGCAGACATTTATACAAAAATGCTTTCAAAACAAATCTTACCCGTTAGAATGACGAGATAAATAAATGCCAAAGTCCACGAGTCTTCTCTTCCTTTCCAAAAGTTCATCTTTTTCGGAGTTTTGTTTTGAGACCAGCTCCAGCTTTCTACGCGTGAAGCAATAAAGAGTTTTAAGAAGTTAAGTTAAAAAAATATGAAACTGAACTAAACCTGACCACAATGTATATGTACGACGAAGGCTGTTTGAGCGGCCGATATAGATTAAAACAGATTACGAATTGCTGAACTTGAATCCGAAGCAATAAATATGCAGACAACCAGAAATATATCAAAACATGTTCCTGGTTGCATGATTCATTTCAAAAATATTTAGACTCAAACCAACCTATGAACACTCTGCAGAGGCAAAAAACCTTGTAGTTCCTGATCTTCCGGTAAAACAACATCTGCGTAAAGAAATGAAATATCTTAATCATTTTTACTAGAACTCTTTGTCACAAAACTATTAGATCTTTACCTAATTTTTCGGGTCCACAATCAGCAGCAAAATCGTTGAGCATGTTCACAAAATCAATCCAAATTCTATGCAGAAAGAAAACAAAGTTTTGTTTTTGGATAGTTTGTTCCGAACCCATACCATGCAGTGTGAGAATTATTGCAAAATTGATTTGCAGGGTTTGTGTCAGTGCTTCGTATTAGAGAGGTATCATTAACCTGTCGTTAATTTACAGATTGTCTTAAAAAGATCACTTACTGTGGTTGGGCAGTCACAACTTCGTCTTGAAATATGCTTGGAGAATTCGCCTTGAACCATTGACAGATGATGAAGATGGATGGTAAGAGACTGGAAAATGATGAATCTTCAGTATTTTTCATTTTAGCCTCATTTTGATGCGTGACTCGCTCCACAAGACATTGCAACATTTTCACTGAAACAGAAGATGTTTTCTGGTAAGCACGGCAGATAGATCGGTCAACAAAACTATTCCTGGCAATGCGTTACTGTAACTGTTGACAATGCTTTGAATATGGGCTATTATTTGCGCCCACAACCCCCTCCTAAGAACTCTTACTTGTAAAGTCCAAAGTCACAACCCAGGAATCCTACACGAAAAGAAAATATGCGTTCATATAATCACGTGAATTTTGCCAGGTAGCTGACAGTGCACTGTGGCACCATTACTTTGCCGGACGATTTCTCGTTACGATTTTCCCTGCCTAACCATGGGTAAACAGGCAAATTCTGAAATCAAGATGTCTTTAAAAGTCTTTAAAAAGATTTTTATTTTTTTAGAAAAAAACATTGTTCGTACTTGGTGATCATCTTTTCCAAAACTGTCATACTCATCACCATCATCAAGAGACGTAAGGTGATGAAGTAAAAACAGATTGATGGTAACCAATTTGATCAAATCACCAGCAGGAAGATCATCAGATTCAAGCAACGTTTTCATTTCGTCGATTGCATTCTCGGTTAGTGACTTGGCAACGTTCAGATCTAAAAAAGTCACGTCTAATAAAATATTTCCACGCTGTTTCTCCTTAAGTTTGATCGATAAAGAGTGACTTCTAATTTAAGGAATTTTAGAACCCAAGGTAACTGAAGTACCCAAGGTGATCTGAAGTGTTTGTAACACTCTTTCTACATACGATTATGACGAAGTTCTAATGAGACAACTGTGTTTTCTATAAAGCGAACTCTTCAAAGTTCACGGAGAAAGGTCATTGCCAAGCATCAAGTAACACGTTCACAGTAATGTCGGACCTCTTTGGAACTATGCAGCGGCGTAGCCAGAACGATAATTGGGGGGGTCCATATTCATATATTCGTGATACGCAGGATTAATTTCTTTTCAAATCAATTGTCTTTACAGTCTGTTTACATGAATATATGAATATGGACCCCCCCAATTATCGATGCTGGCTACGCCAGTGGAACTATGTACAGTATAGCGTCAAACAATCAACTTTTGGTAATTGATTTAAGGACATGCAACTCTACCTTGGGCAAGGTAAATACAACCGTGAAACTGAATAAACATTTGCATGAATTCTGCTTTGAAGATCTTCTCAATTGGAGGTGAACTGTAAGTAGATCATGGATAAACATAATTAATCAGCCTGGTTCCAAAAGTCGTAACTGCTGTAAACAAGTAATTCTCGAAAAAAATACCTGTTTCCAGACAGACATGCCTTGCTAAATGTTTTATTGAGGTTGGTAGAGGCAGCAGGAAACTGATTTTTCACCGCAATACTATAACATGATAACATAGCAAAAATTACGATCAGTAGAACTACAGCAAATCTTGCTTCGTCACGTTTCACTTGTTCATTCAACAAGATTTTAGCATACTGACCTTCGGCAGTAGAAATACACCGTTCCCAGTGTGTCACCGCGTGAGCTCGCTAAAATGGCCAATTGATTGTAGGGCTGACCTAAATTAGACAATATATAATGAAGTAGTATATGTAGCTACCTGTACATTCTCCTGTGGATCATCACACAGAGGCACAGCGAGGGAAACTTTTAACACTTAACAAGTTACTAACATACTGGATGGCACAACCCAGATATTAAACCTTAACTCGATTTATTATGTAGAAAACTTTGTGTCAGTTTCAACGTAGATGCTAATAACTATTTCGTGAAATATTTAAACAAGCTTACGTTTAAAGGTCGTTCCTGGAAGTTTAAATTGATTAAACTCGCGTGAGTTCGATCATACGAAATTTACAATACATTTTTTAAAATGATCAAAAATATGCGCGTAGTATTAATTAATCATCATCATACCATTAGTTGGAACAAGTTGCAAGGCTTGCTTGTAATACACTTCAGCTTCACCAGTCTCATTTCTGTAACGAGCTAGAAAACAGAGGAAGAACAAAAACCACGTATTATAACGCGTGTGATTGGTGATTTAGGAGCGGTTCCTACATACTTGGCCAAAAACTTCCTTTTCTACGTGGTAGAACAATAATAAAATTAACTCCTTATTAAAGAAGTTTTCTTTTCTTTCAACATGTCAATGTATACAATTTAGTGGCAGAATGCATATTGAGAGTGTCAACATGGGTTCCTAAACATACAATAACCTCTTCCTAGCTTGCCTTCCCTCTTCTAGTCTTGGCATGCAGGGTAATAACATAGGAACAGAACTGAATGATTTTGAACTTGTGGTGTAAAATACATTACCTAAATCTCCAAGATGAACCAAACAGTCTTGACAAATGTAATAGCAAGCACTTGCTGATGGCTTCTTATTCATCTTCCGGTTGCTGTTAATGTCTAGTGAACATGTAACACATTCACTACTTTATTTAAGATATAGATAAATAACTTAAATGCAATGCAATGATGGGATGAATGTGGATTAGAAATGTTTCCATCAAATTATTCTGGCACAAATGAATTCCACACTTTAAATACTATAATACCATGTAAAATGCCAATAGAAGCAGGGTTGATGTATCCAGGGACTTCCAGTGCATATTTCAGACATAGTTCATTCAGGAGCTAAAAATTCAAAAAATATCCTCTGAAATCTTCTTCAGCTCAAATATGAATGTTTGTTACTGATGCAATAGGAATATTGATTCTTACCTGAATATAAAATCCACTAGCAGATTCAAGAAAAAGCATAAGCAATGCCTGAAGTTCATTTTTCTTGTTGGTCTTTTCAAAAAGAGAACATATATACACAATTTTCTTTTTTGTATATCAAAGGAAACTTGGTAAAAATTTAGAAATGTTTCAGTCTGTACCTTCTTATCTTTCATTTGCTGTCTCATAGTGTCAATATGACTCTTGAATGCACAGTTCCACCTAAAAAAGATAATCAGTAGCTAATAGTGTTTAATGTGTACTTTATAACTTACATTTGCAAACAGTGAAGAAAACAAGCCCTTAACAGATACTCAGAATCTAACATAATTATACATGCTAAAATGATATATATGTAGATGGTTAGGTACTATATGTACATACAGTTGGAAAACAGGTAGAGAATAGGTACAAAAGAAAGAAAAATAAGGAAGAGAATAGAAATTATGTACGGTAGTTTAAATTATGTGTTATGTTACATTTTTTTCAGAATAAGGGGGTATGAAAGAGAGAAGCAGTAAATATATTACACTTAATCATGCATGCAAATGATATTTAAACAACTTACAGCTCTTGCTCAACTTTCTTTTCCAATGCATAACTCAAATCACTTAGCAATATAGACTTGTATAGGTCTTGCAAACTATAGTAACATTTAAATATTTCATCAATTTGTGTGTGCTACCCTGAGTGCAATTGTAATTAATCTAATAGCCAATTGTGACGTATAATAGAAATTAAACCTTTATGCTGGTAAACCGAATTATGAGATCAAGTCAGTTTGAGAAGTCAATATATCCTAACACAATCTAGCTCTTTCTCTTAAGCATGTCACTACTGATATTGTTATTGTTGTGTTTTGAACTCAGGTGAATTACTTGTGTTTATAAGTTACATATAAAAAAGATAAACGTCATTTTTAGTCACCCAACGCACTGTTCTCCTACGTACTAAACTTCAGAAAGAGAATTTTTGCTTTTTTGGGGTGATATTATAAAGGCCTATATTTGTTTATGTTTGTTTTACCTCTGGCATGAGGACCACAACTCTCCACCAACGGAGAAATCCTCCTTTCTTTTTGCTTTATTTGATAATGGATAAAAATAATAAGTATAATTACATGCATTTAATACATAAATTCAACACCAGGGCAATTTCAATATAAACACAACTTTTGAACAACAATGTCAGGAAATGAAATGAAACACGATTGTGTCGAAGCAACTTTGTCTCTGTATCAAAAAATAACCCTTGACTGTAATTACATTTTACAAATTGTTTGGCAAATATATTGAAATATTTCTGTTCAATTAAAAATTGAAAAAAAAAGTTAAAATCATTTTCAAATTTTGCCGTCAAATATATATTCGTGTAGATCGTTCTAAAATAAGAAAAACATTTTAGGCTATTTGGTATAAATTTTAAAACCTCAGCCCGATGAAGCCCAAGCGACTCGCATGACGTATAAAACCCGGATTCAAAAAGTAACTGTCAGTGTGCCTTGAAATTGGTGAGAAACGTGACTAAAAAAGGTGTTATATTTTAAAAACGTACAGTACAACTCTTGATAAGGGCCATGAAACGCTTTTGTTTGTATAGCTTTGTCTTAATGTTAAAGTCAAAACCATTGTTTACATCGGCCAAAAATTTCAAACTCACTTGTGATAGTTGACTTCAACACCTCGGCTTCGCTAAAGTAATAAGAAATATACCACGATTAAAGGTCAGATAAATTAAGTAATTATTTAAGTTTGTATTGCTGCATTTTCAGCAGAGAAAGTACAAAAAGGAAGCTTTTCTTACCGAAAAACCTGCGACGAATTGAAAACAACAGGAGCCATATTGTTTGCCTTCATGAACCTACCAGCGGTTTCACTGTGTACACTTCTAACGACGCTCTAGCGCACCGAGAATCTTCAAATTTTATTACGGAATTTCACGACGGAAAAATTAAATTAATACCACAATGTACCTTTTTCTAGTGTTTTATTGATTTCTGGCAAGTGATATGGTAAGCGATATATTGATTGTAGTTAATATGGTATTCCACAATATGTAATCAGCTTAATATAATTAATTCATACAATGCCAGAGGCAGAGTGGTCATGATGTACGGCAGTCTGGCAGTGGTGGAAGATATTTAATTTGCGGTAATTATTTTCCCGGGAATTACGTCACAAACTACATTGTTTTCAACTTTGGACCACTTTAAATGGATTTTATGTCACATTGTTTTTAACTCAGGTTATGCTTTGGCTATGAGAACAGAAATAAAGACCTTTCTAATCACATGCATGTATTTTAAAGAAAATGTGAAATTGAGCCATAACGTGAAAGCGAGGCTAAGCTGGGACGTCGATGCTCATTTTTGTCTTCAAGCTTATTTCCACACTTTTTGAAAAATGTTCTCTCATCAGTCTCATGTATCTGTAAAAGACAGTGGCGTAACTAGAACAATAATTGGGGGTTGAAAATTCATATAGCCCGACAAATTTCTTTCTAAATGCGATAGCTTACAATAAATCCGTGGGGCAGAACTTAATATATGACTATTCACCCCCCAAAGTATCGATCTAGTTACTCCACTGGTAAAAGAATGGTGTTTGCAACTATTAGTTATTCCCATTTTCCAATCCACACCCAGACGAGTACCATTCTATTGATTATGCCCAATGGAAGTGGACTGTTTTCCAACAACATCTTGTAATAATATTTGTATGTGCTTCGGATTTGTCAACCAGTTATGGGGAGTCACATGGCAGTAAACCCAGAACCAGGGATTGTGTTTATTATAGTTTAATCATAATCCCCCAAAATTATTGATTATTGTAGCAAATTGTCATTAAGAATATTTGATGATTTCAGGTTGAGAAATATTTTCAGTATTTGTAGTATTTTTTCAATCTTTTTCCAGGGTACCCAGTTAAAAGACATCAAAATCCCACCAAATGCAGTCACCTCACTGCTATTAGAGAAACATGCTGAGTATATTGCAGCTTATGGAAATAAGAAAGATGATTATGTAAGAATCATTTTAAAACCCTATTGATGGAGATTCCCTGGTCTCCGTAATTTCTAAAGACACTAAAGGAGTGGTTTATAACACAAACTAATTTTAATTAGTATACAAAGGAACTTTTTTTCTAAAAAATAAATGTATTATGAGGTCAACTATGTTATTTCTCAACAAAGGAATACTGTATAACTGAATACCTTCGTATGAGTGGTGTTTACTGGGGCTTGACCACAATGGATCTGATTGGGAAAATTGAGATGATGAAAAAAGAAGAAATTATTGAGTTTGTCAAATCATGTCAACACCAGGATGGGGGATTTGGTGCGAGTGTAAATCACGACTCTAGCTTACTTTATACATTAAGTGCTATTCAGGTGATTATACCAGTGATATAATATACTGTATCATTAGTCACTTTTCATAAGGACATCCTGGTGGTGGTTTTGTCTTGCCAATGTTACAACCAGATCATTTAGTAAGATGTACTCTTAGTAAATTAATTGAGAGCGAAATATCTAGTTCAAACAATCACAAGATATTTTTTAATTTATTTTAGATTCTTGTAATCTACAATTGTGTTGAAGTCATTGATGTTGAGAATGTTGTCAAATATATTTCCAGCCTGCAGAAAGAAGATGGGTCTTTTGCTGGGGATATATGGGGTGTGTAATTATTACTATCCAGTTTTTTTCAGCAAACTTACATGGGACACTTTATGATCTCCTGAGCTATTTCATCATGTCTGGAAGTATGTCTGGAAGATTGTCTGGAAGTTTCAAATTTAGGCTTGAACTAATTTTTTAGGCGAAATCGACACGAGATTTTCATTTTGTGCAGTAGCTGCTCTTTGTCTTTTGGTAAGAAAAAGCTCATTCATTTGTGATTTTCTTTATGACATCATTCCATGGCAAATAGTATACCGTCAAAGCCTTAATGTTTTCATATATCACAATTCATCAGCGATTCCACTTTAGTTCTATTTGTCTATCCTTCGGAAGTCGTGTAGTACTGCGGATCATAGGCATAGACCTACATCTTTGAAAAAGGAGGCCTGTGTCAAGTTACGCCAAAACAAGGCTAATTAAGGTGTCTAAATTAACGAAAACAAGGCGTATTTCAAGGTAATTTATTTTCACCCTTCCTTCGGAGTCTGGACTTATCACAAGCTACACCAGAACGAAGTTCAATCGCTCTTTCATGACAAATTTTATAAGTAGCTCTTCTGCCAACTGAATTAGCAGGTTCTTGGGGAATGTCACAAACAACCCCCCCCCCTGTAGTGCTGTACCTGGCCGGCGGCGGCAACTTATGGCCTGTTTACATGGAGTGGGTTATCCCGGCTAGGGAGGGTAAAAACTGCATATAATGAAAGACTTATCAGGTTAAGCCTTTGATGTGGTGCTCTTTTTACTTCGCCTAACCGGGATAACTCGCTTCATGCAAACAGGTCCCACCCACGAACATGGCACTTGGCTCTAAAAAAATATCAATGTTGATCTTTATTTATTAGGAACGGTTAGATGCAGTAAATATTGACAAAGCTGTTGACTATGTTGTATCCTGTATGAACTTTGATGGAGGTTTCGGTTGTCGTCCGGGGTCAGAGTCCCATTCAGGACAGGTATATAACCTTGGTACCATATATAGGGCTGTTTCCCACTTCAATCGTGTCATAGCGTTTTCTTTGCTTCCGACGTATTTAACCAGAACTAATGACTTTAAAACAATGAGATACGTTATGTTTCGATACGGTCAAAGTGGAAAACGGCCTATACCCTCGGCTGTCGTGTAATAGGAACATTGCTGCAAACCCAGGTTACCGAATTTATTCTGGTTAATAAGTCTTAATCAATACGCTTCCAATATGCTTTTAATGCAGTTACACTCTTATCTTTCTACTCTTTAATAAAACGCTGTTTTACTATGTTTTACTGCAGTAAGAAGTTGTTTTTTTGTGTTTCCTGCACAGATTTACTGCTGTCTTGGTGTTTTAGCCATTACTCACCGTTTGTATCATGTGAATGTTGATATGTTAGGATGGTGGTTATGTGAAAGGCAATTGGCCTCAGGCGGTCTCAATGGTAACACATTTTCACTGTAATATAACAATTCCATCGTTTAATATTAAAAAAATATCTTGATCTTCAAAGTACCTGAGATCATTTGGTCATCACTCTAGTCAATGCAAAGGTTAACCAGAGTCAGGGGTTTTGGAATTAGCTACAATTTAACTACCAAATTAGCAGTAAAAAGGGGAGATTTTTGCAGCCCCAGAGTGAAGTTTGATCACTATTTAAGGTCGGACAGTGAATATACTAATAAATACTTGTAGGTCGGCCTGAGAAATTACCTGATGTTTGTTATTCATGGTGGGTGTTGGCCTCTTTAAAAATTATTGGAAAAATTCATTGGATTAACAAGGTAAACTTAAACAGTAAATTTTTTGCAATTTTAGTTCTCACTTCTAAGAGCTAATTGCTTCTTCCTTCCCTATGTTATATAGGAAAAGTTGGTAGAGTTCATTCTCGCTTGTCAGGATGATGAAACAGGTGGTTTTGCGGATAGACCAGGAGATATGGTTAGTAAAATCAATTGATATGTTAAAATCAAATGAACTATCTTCTTAAAGGACGATAAAATAGAGACCCAAAGTCCAAAGAGAAAGTTTAGATATGCAAATAACAAATGTTTTAACTGTTCTACATAAGGACATTGTTAAAATTTGTATTAAGAATAAATGGTCAAGTTACCGTTCTCCGTTTTTTTAGGTTGATCCATTTCATACACTATTTGGCATAGCAGGTCTATCTCTGTTGGGATATGGTGATATCAAAGAAGTGAATCCAGTATTTTGTATGCCAGAAAACGTTATAAGAAAACTAAAATATAAGCCAGAGATTCTCTAACCAAGTTATCAATGAAATATGAACAAATTATATATTTACGACTTCCGACATCTTTTCTAAAATAAATTAATACATAAGGAACTATCAAGGGACTATTTATTCACAAATTCATTCATGAGTTTACATGCTAATATAATATTAATTTCATCTGCAATTAACAATGAAAGATACTATAAACTTGGTCTTCAGAAATTGTTATAGTTATTATGTCACTGTCTATGCATGGCTATGGGAACAGAAATGGGGCCAGTTGTAAAATTCCCTAACTACATTTTGCCTAGTTAACCATAGGCAGCCCAAGATTGCATGAGATATTTTTTGGTAATTAGTCAATATAATATAGTAATTATACATTACTACATTACCCAACTCTGATTGGCAAATTCTGTCCTTAATTACAGTTTAAAGTCGACTGTCTTTTATACAACTGGCCCCTGGTCAAAGTGTACATTTACTATACATTATACATACAATTTCCCTATGGCTAGGTTCTGTTTTTGCAAGCAGTTGATGAAATTGTTATGCTGACTTGAAACACCATTTATGCATTAAATTACTGAGCAAAGTTAGCATGGCAAGAGTTTGCACATGTAAGATACATTACCTCTAATTGTTCAAAAGTTGATTGGGCTCAGTTTTAAACCAGCTTAAATTTAAGAGTTCAGTTGGTGATATATTTTGTCTGTACTGTTCATCTATTCACTCACAACTTAGGTCATGTCCATTTTTTCAATTGTGTCTGTGTGCCTTACTTTCTTTGATATTTCTGCCTTGGGTTTATCAACAACCTCCACTATACAAATACACCAGGTAAATGAAAACAGTTAAAACCCAACAGTAATAACTTGCGAAAAACAATTAAACCATACGTCAAACAAACATACCATCCATTCTTTTCTTGTCTTGTTCCTCTCTCTTGAGTTCTTTCAAAAGAAGTCTTCTTTTCTTTCCAGATAGGGTAATGTTAGCATTTGGATTTGTTCTGTAAGATCACATTTCACCAACAAATTTTTTAAGTGTTTGTCAGTGAAATCACTAAGCTAATAAATCAAAACAATTTGATGTTTTTCTTCTTCAAAATGTTGGCTTTTTACAAATGAATCTAGTACCTTGTTTTCTTAATAATGTGAGAAGTAGTCAGAGGATCCACATTTATCTTTTTCTTCTGCTTTTTCTTTTTACTTATTTTACCTCCCTTCCTTTTGGACCTTGCCTAAACATGAACCATATAAAGGTTAGAAACATTTGTGGTATTCAGCATATGCAATATTCATTAACTCTGAAATAAACGACAGAAGTTACCTATACAGGGTGTATCAAAAAAAAGGTAATCCAACTTCAACACGCTATTGTACGTGAACTACTCAGTCTAGGAACGACTTTTTTTCACATTCGGAAAGATCAGGCTTTTAACTATCGGATGACATGTTTTTAATACCAAATGGTGAAAAAGTGAGCACATACGAGGCTGATAAAAAATGTTAGTCCTAATCGCATATTTTCACCTTTGAGCCTAATTAAAGCAGTGCATAACAAAAGAAAAAACAATTAATCACGAACATGTCACAGCTTGCACTGGTTTTATGCCGCATTGCTTAAAATGTTCTCCTGATGTGATTTATTCCTACTTAATATGCATATGCGGGTAGTTTATTCAAAAGCAAAATTCTTCAATTTAATCCCAAAGAGAGTTAATTTTCAATGGCTTTAGTCCCAACTCTCAGAGGTGAAAATATGCGATTTTGACTAACACTTTTTATCAGCCTCCTATTTGCTCATTTTTTCACCATTTGGTATCAAAAACATGTCATTCGATAGTTAGAAGCCTAACCTTTCGGAATGTGAAAGAAATTCGTTAATAGAATGAGTAGTTCACGTACAATAGCGCACCAAAGTTGGATTACCTTTTTTTTGATACACCCTGTATTCATATGTATTAAAAAACAAATTACAATGCGTAACAAGGGTATTTTTAGAAGCATTTTTTACTAGTAAATTCTTCTAATTTGGATGGCACTTCAAAAGTCACTTTATGGGGGAGGGGAGAATTAGACCTAGGAAAGAGGTTGTTGGTTGTCCATATGTTAATACTATTTTAGGAGTGAACGCAAAACATGGGAACGAGGGCAAATGAGATATTTATTGTTTGTGGAGTAGCCTTCATGGCCCAGGGGTGAATTCGAGAAGTGTCTATTTAAATTCATACATTACAGAACAGAAATGATCTACATATAACAATGAATGTATAGTCAACCAGATATGAGATATTCTTTACAAAGAACATTCCAATATTCTCGGCTAAATAATGTATCAATTTCCTATAGTTTTCTCAATGGTTTTAATACTGCAAATATTTTGCATTTATGAAAACTCATTTATTTTGGCATTTTGCCTTTATATTACAGTAACTGCCAATGTCATGATATACGAAATACAAGTATTTACAAATACGACACATAAAAACGTTTCTTGAATAACTCACTTGGGCTGATTTTGGATGATTTATACTTCCACCGGCTGCCATGTTTATATTCCATTCATACACGTGTTCTGACTTCTGTCTTCGGTCATTCTTTGCTTCGGTCAGCAAAAACAACCTTTATTGTCCCTTTATGTCCCCAGGGCCCAGGGTCATCGTTAGAACAAAATTGGTTGGAGTTCAGACGATGTTCAATATATGTCAATCTGCTTTGAAATTCTAAGAATCGTTCATGAGGCTTTCAATTAATTTCTTTGCAACACATTTAAATAATTTTTACAGCAAAAGTTTATTTAGCATACCTAGACACATATTTAGAGCAAAAGATAGCTCCTTTGGTTCAGCCTGTTCAGGTTGTGCTGTATCAACCATGAGTGAGCCCTTAATGGTGGGGGTGTGTCAAATGACCTCAGGTAGTGATGTGGATAAAAATATTGAAGTTTGTAAAAGGTTGATTACTAAAGCCAAGCAGCTTGGAGCTAAGGTTTGTGATATCTTTAAAGTGATGTAATTTAAGAATTTTGGATTGGTTCAGGGATAGATTCAGGATAGAATAGGTTTGAGTGGTTTGAGGTTATGGTTAAGTTTGGGTTATGATTAGGTTAGAGCTAAGTTTGGATTAGATTGAGGCTAGGCTAGGTTGATGACTTCTACTTCTGGGTAATGTAGTCCTTTATTATTGTAGTATATTCTATATAACTATATAATTAGTGAAGAGATTTCTATGTAATTTTTCTCAATTTATTTAAAATTTTTAAATTCATGTACAATTCATAAGACTCTCTCAGTCTCTTATGCAACAATCTCAGTCTTATGCAACCAATTACTTATGTCATTATTTAATTAATGTTAAGTTGCACCATTTTCTTCATCTAACTAGAATTATTCTTCCCTGTTCCGCCTTGGAATTATTTTGTTGCCCAGTGTTGTCCGGCTTCAAATGACCTGATTATAACAACATCAGGATTCAGGCATAAAAGTATGAATGTTAGAAAGCTCTTTATATATTACAAATTCTTACTTGCTTCATATATGCATGCTCATCACCTCATGTGCATATTCAATGTAAACCATTAATGATCAAGCAAAATTTTTGTGCTGTAAATGATATTTTGTATAATGTGAAAAAACAATGAATAGCTGGAATATTGGTGGAATTCATCAAAGTTTGTAATGAAATTGCACATACTTGCTGCCACACATGCATGCATTGATAACTGTGTCTCAATTTCAAGTTGCTTGACCCCTGCTGCAATTATCAATTCAGGGAGATTTAGCAATTTTTGTCCTCTTTGAGACTTTGACGTTCGCGTCCTCATAATAATTCTCCCTAATGACGTCACATCATCACATGGAATCGAAAAATTAGGTTGAATTGTTATGTCACAGTATAGAGAGAGAACAGACAAAAATTTCTTACCTGAGTGATCCTACTGTTTATTCCCTATACTGCGGTTATGTTAGGGATTTCGTGATTTGCGGTTAGGACAGGGCGGCGGTTAGTGAATGGGTTCAAAGAGGAAATATTTCGTGCGCGTAACAAAACGACAGTACCATAGGCATAGGTGGTTACTGCAAATTACGAAACCCTTCACATAACGATATAACTAAACATTGCGCACTTATCTTCTATTCAACATGGATACCATGGTGAAAGCAGTAAAAGGTTATGCTAAACCCGGTATAATGTGCATTTTATGTCTTGAGGACTTGTATATTTGGATAAAACCCGTGACGATTGTCTGACGATTTACGTGAGTGAGGCTCCCAGGCTAAGTGATTATCGATGTAGTGACTAGTGTATTTTAGCTGTTCGAGTTTTATTAAATTAGCGAAAACTTTAGTACGGTAGGACTACTCAGAACTTTACAGTATATGCATATGATACGCTTCAAATATGCTATTTCGACTATTGTATATATAGATGGTGTTTTTACCAGAAGCATTTGACTTTGTCTCAGAAAACAAGGAAATGTGCCTTTCTCTTGCACACTCTGTCGATGGTCCAGTTATTCAAGACTTGTCTCGGACGGCGAAAGATGAAGATGTCTGGTTGTCTTTGGGGGGGTTTCACGAAAAGGTAAATTGATGATATTCATGTAGTTACATACAAGCATTGCATAACTATGTAAAATATAGATTTCAGTTCACGAGGTTTTCAGGGCAATTTTTTCCGGCGAAATAGGTAATACCATCCCAAGCACCGAGAAAGCAAAGAAAATTGGCAGCTTTAACGCATATCCCCCAAAAACATTACATGCAGAGACAGGATACTAAGGTTTAATTTGGGTTATTGAAAAGCCAAGAAAGATGACAGGCGTGGTCCAAGACACTCAATATATCGTTATAATACCAAGTCTCGTTTTGTATAATATTAAACTACGTCATCTCATATAGCTATACTAACTGAAAAAACTTTCATAGAGCTCAACAGAGGACTCTCGTGTATACAACACTCATCTTATCCTTGATAACCAAGGCAACGTTGCTGGCAAATACAACAAGCTTCACTTGTTTGATGTCGATATTAAAGGTGGCGTGAGATTGAAGGAATCGGACAGTTTTATACCTGGGAAAAAAATGCCTCCTGTTGTCAAAACCCCGGTTGGAAATGTTGGTCTTTCAATTGTATCTTTGAATATCAATGATAATATCTTACAATCAAGCTAAAATTTTAGCAATGGTTTCAGGGGAACCGATTTCACATTAATTCCAATGCAGTGCTTTCTCTAGTAAATAGTGCATGACTGCATGGCCTATAAATTGCATTGCATTAACTATCTGCAGTATATCATCATGTCTTGACTGTTTCTTGTGCACTTTTGATATTTTCATCCTAATGTTTTCATACTTCTCTGGTTTGTCATGCGTGGTTTATGTTTGCGGTTACGGCAATAACTATAAATATAAATATCAGTATTTTTGCAAAACACGACTCAGTGCCATGCAGTGGTCATATAGTGATGTACCTTTTCTTAATTCAATTCAAGTGCTATGATCTGCGCTTTCCAGAACTCTCTTTGACTTTAGCGCAACAAGGTGCAGATATTTTGACCTATCCATCAGCATTCACATTTATCACGGGAGCAGCCCATTGGGAGGTAAGATTGTATGAAACCTAGAGTAATGTCTCCCAGGGTGGGCAAACCAGTTCTGGTCTAAGATCAGCCTTGTATCCAGGCGCTGTAGCCAGGGACGCCGGAACCAGGGGGGTTCTAGAGGCAGGGGGAAGGTGCCCTTTCATTTGGTTTTCAGTTAGACACCTACAGACAATCCAGATTACGTTATATATCTAAAGTAGAAGTTACACCAACGAATGTCAAGAATGGCACAATCGTCTGAACACGATCACACGAGGTTCATCAACAGAATGCTTTGCAAACATTCTTTTTATTATGCGCTGCAACAGGAGTGCCCTTTTACCAAAATCTGCCCCTCTTTGTCCTCGCATCGTTCCGGCAGCATTATATGAGGTCAGCTTAGAAAAAAGGAGCACGCGGGGGTGAGAGGCAAACAGTAGAAAATTAATAATTTGCATTTTTAGTCCATAATTTTATAAGGTTATTCTAATTTCATACAACCAGCCCCTGGATGTTAGAATAACAGTGTTTGAAGATTTTTGAAGACTCTGACTGTACATCACGTCTTTATTCCATTCCAGTGTCTATTGAGAGCAAGAGCAGTTGAAACACAATGCTATGTAATAGCAGCCGCTCAATGTGGACAACATAATGTAAAACGAAGATCATATGGTCATGCAATGGTGAGAACAAGTAACCTCTCCCCTTTTGGAGAGGAAAGAGAAATATTGAAGGGCAAGAGTGAGAAACTTCCACATTCCAATTTCCAAACGATATTTTTACTGAAAACCAAACTGAATAACGTTGTTGACCAATTGACAATTACGATGCATGCCCAAGCAAATCAGGTCCGCGTTAGATCCTTCCAGATTACAGCCCTTGTGAAGCTCAAAAAAATGCGCTTTTAAGAATGTTTACCAAAATGAAAAGCATGAATGAAATTAAATTTTCTAAATGTCTAGGTGGTAGATCCATGGGGCCAGGTTATTGCACAATGTCACGAAGGTGAAGATGTCAGTGTCACTGAGATTGACCTCGAATATCTCAATAAAGTGAGAACACAAATGCCAGTGTGGGAGCATAGAAGATATGATATGTATGACAGAGTTGGACCAAAATTATAAATGATTGTCGATTCACATTGTTATACGGTTGCTTACATTGTAAAAACAATCGTAACGGGCGATATTGTGAATTCAATTGGTCGCAAATTAAAGGATAATTATGTAGAAACAGATTAGAACCATAGGGATGTTAATCTATGGCATTACTATGATGCTCCAATATTTTGTATACGTAACATAACAATGAACTCTGGCTACTGCCAATCGACCTATTTGTAGTCCGTGTTTAAGTGTGACATGAATGTCTCAAATTAAATCGTGCATGCCTCGATTTCAAATTGACCCCTGATCAGATCAGTGATCATGACTGTAACCTATGTACATCAGTCTATGTCACATGATGAAATTGAAGAATTGCGCAATTCAGCGCAAATTTGATCTATTCAACATGGACACCATGGGCATGGTGAAAGCAGTAAAAACCTATACTACGCCTGGTATAGCAGATCTCTACGATAAAACTAGGCCTAACTACAATCTCTCTTCAGTGGAATTTCTTTTGGAAAAAGTCGATGCATTGAAACCCCACACTGGGCCGGAACCTTTCACGATCGTTGAACTGGGAGCAGGAACAGGGAGATTTACCAGAGCAGTGTTGGAAGTCTTAAAGAAACAGTCAGTAGAGAATTTTAAGATCATTCCAACAGAACCTCTCACAGAGATGTGTGAAAAGTTTCGAAAAATGATGCCAGATATTGAAATATTACAATACACTGCAAGTGATTTGCATGGTATGGTATATAACTTATACATGTCTATTACTATGTCGTATAATATTGTTGACTTCCTGTATGTACAGAGTTGATAGTTCCACGATAAATGAAGCTTATAGATCAATTCAGGTTCAAACTTTCGGTCGTTTCTCGATGTATAAAAAAACCGAAGACCAGTGAAATATATAAAAATGTGTCGCAAGTTTGGAAAATCCCAGATATTACAGTACACTGCATGTTTTGATTTTCCTCATGGTAAGTAAATTTGAGTAGCATGCATGGATATATTAAAACTAGTAGTTACTATCGCAAGGGGAGTGCTGCCATGCCCAAAAAATTTTTGTACAAGGTTGGCAGCTAGTGTGGTGCGAAGAAACACAGGCACGTCAAGAATAGTGTGCTGCCACGCTGGCAGAACAGGGCAATTATTGTAGCAAGCCGAAAACCATTAACATCGCGTAGTACCGTAATGAAAAAAGCACCTAAGCTAAGCTACATACAGTTCACATAAAATAATCGTTTAAAAGTCTGGGTTATACATCCATGCAAAAGCCCCATCGTCTGGCAGTTATAGGTGTAAAAATTTATAACTTAGGGGCTGTTTACATGAGCCCGGTTACCCGAGATTCTACGAAGCGTGAGAGGACTTAAGGTATTAAAAGGTATTGAGGTATTAAAATAAGTCTTTATAACACCAAACAAGCACATGCTATTGTTGTGGTGATTATACGACTGCCAGGATCACGTTATCTGCTTATTTCAATACCTCAAAATCATCTCACGCTTCGTTGAATCTCGGGTAACCGAGTTCATGTAAACAGCCCCTTAATACAGATGAGTGAATAAATGAATATTCGTCTCAGAATTCGCCTCATTGGCGTGCAACTGCGCACATGACATAAAACCTTTGTGACGAAGAGAAACGAAAAAAATATAGTTTCTTAATAAAATAAAAATTAAGTCGACAGTAATTGTCCCCTAAGAATTTAGCGTAATTATAAGAATGCGAATGAAAAGATAAAAATCATAAAATAGTTCGATATCTATGACCGATGACCAAGTTCACAACTTATATGGCGTTTATACAATATGGCGTTTATACAAAAAGCATAGTGCCTGATGTCACTTCAAACATGCCATCAAACACGTTACATGCTCAAAAGATAGTGTATATTAATATACTATTGCTGTATTACAGGTTTGGCTAACAATTCTGCTGACGCGATATTAGCGGGTCAATCTTTTCACTGGTTTGGAATGAATCCGAAGGCAATCGATGAAATCCACCGCGTTCTTAAACCCAAAGCCAAACTGGGAATTATTTGGGTTATGGCTGACCGTTCCGTGCCATGGATTAATTCAATTAGAGAGATCCTTGACCCTGAGTTTGAGAAAGTTGACCTCCCTCACCCTGCCAATCGCTCACTTGAGCCTGTGCGTAATCATGGCGGTTTTGGTAACGAAGGTAAGGGTGACACGGCTTTTAAAGTTAGCATGGAACTGGATTTAGACGGAGTTATGGAAACACACAAAGCCTATAGTGTAATAGTATGCGCTTCAGATCAAGATAGAAAGAGAATTTTACAGGCGATTGAAAGAGAAATGAAGACCAACCCGGACACAAAAGATAAACAGAAATATAATTATGAACTTTTAACCTCTACCCACTGGTTTGAGAAAATTTAGTTTACACAACAAACTATTAAAGAGGCAAATCAATCCATATCAATGAATGAACTCACACAATATGTTAACTTACTATCCGTCCTCGTACCCAGGGTCTTTTCTCTCGGGACGCTGGGTACGAGGTTGCTTACTGCCTAGTTAGACACCTATAGACAATCCAGAAACTGACATACCCAGCGATCATCTTTATTTTTTATTCCATCTAATTATAAATTATGGTGTATTTCATATAATTATGCTTTATTAGTGATGAAAAATCTAAACAATTATGAATTTTGAGTAACATCTATATTAGCAAATAAATATATCAATAATAATAGCCTTTGTGTCATCGTCAGTTTACATCCATAGTTGAGGAAAATTTCCTCAGTAAATGGGGGCGCCAGACTATCTATTATAATATTCCTGTACTTGGTTTTCTAATATACTAAAACACGTGCATTGCAAAGCATGCAAGAAGTTGTAAATTATTATCATTTATCTCTAATGATCAAGGACATCTCTAAAGATCAGGGAAAAATTGAAAGGAAACCATTTACCAATGCAACTAATTTAGAGGAGCATCAGCAGAGATCAATAGGGGAATGGTCTATTACACTTAATCTCATGCATTGTAAAAGGAAATATTGTGAACTTCATGGGTAGAAACATAATAACAGTTTTAATAGGACTCCTAGGGATATCAATTCATGGCGTCAGCTAAACGTAAATTTCTCAACGGCACACGTATAGCCGTGCTGGTTTTATACTTTATTTATTTTTCTGTAAATTGAAAACCTAAAATTCTACCTATGTCTATCTAAAAATATATATTTACAGCTTAACTAAAAACAGTGCATATTTGAACACTGGTTTGGTAAATATCTACAACTTTATAAGTGTATCAATTTAACAGATGCCTCTTGTTACAGGCCTTTTGGAGGCCACTGTTCAGAAGACATCATTAAAAATCGTTGAGCAAGGTACTAGATTTAAATGGTACTAGATAAAATTACGGGTTAGACATTCTAAATTCTAATAAACCTCGACTTTTCATGAGAGCCACAGCCAGCGCTACTCATTACCAGGAGATAAAATGTACAAGTACTTCGTTGGCTTTCGAGCATAAGGTTTTCTAAGATTTGCTTTTGACCTCAAATGATCTCAATGTTAGAGTATGATTTCCACCTGGTTTTAGAAAAGCATACTGTTCCGTTTTGCCATAAAAAGGTGTTGTGAAGATGTACCATAAAATCATACTCCAAACCAACCTTACTGGAACTTTGACTTTGCGCAAAAGCTGATATTCACAATGAACATTCATACTATCACTTGGGAATACTTTCTGTGCGTCACTCGCAAATAAATAGATTTATCATCATCTGAGTGTTGGGGTACTCTTATGTCTTCAATGACAAGACACAGTCGTTTTCATGGAAATGGTGAATTTCCAAGAACTCATACCGACGTTGAACAAGGCATCAACCACTTGCCAACGTTTACTTCTTCCTTTTCATACCTTTTAATGAATGATTCATCCTGGGAGGAAATATGTTTATCATTGTAATTAGCAAAGTGTGTTTTTATTAAAGGAAACTACTTGATACTTTGACTTACCAGTAGTTGAGGATACTTTGGACGTTGGTCACGATTTTTGTGTAAACTGCAAGGAAACGATACAGAATGAGGAAGTGAGTTTCCAGACGACTCCCACACAAGAAGGTCCCAATAAAAATCCTCCCAACAAAGGAAAATTTCTCTGCTTCACTCAAGAGAAAGGCAATTACCTGAGTGGCTTTAAACCAGACTTTGAAATTAAAGCATAAGTAAATTATAATAATTATACAAAGATAATCTTTGAAGAACATAGAGGTTTGCCAATCAGCTTACCATTGAGTTATGAAAGATTGAAACTCCGGTGAGAAATCTTTCTCCGCTGGTAATGATGGCGAATTTTGGTCAATGATACGAGTTAAAATTTCAAATTCATTTTTACATTGTTTGTAAGGAAACTCCCCCGTCGCTAGCTCCACCTAATAATCATAGAAATAATAACCTTGTGGATTTACAGAGTATACTCTTCCTAACACAGGGCAGGTTCACACCTATGAACATTGAAGTACGGTAGTAGGGTATATGAATAGGGAACGTCGGAATTTCAACTTACTAGAGATATTCCTAAGCTCCAGACATCAGCTCGGACATCGTAATCAGGATTGGATGGATCAGGTGGATCAATGCGCTCAGGCTGCAAATATGCATGAAACAAGCCAACTATAAGTATAGACTAAACCCAGAACCCAGCATAAAGATATGGACTAAAAAACTATAGCAAAGTTCAAGACCTGTGTCTTTAACAGGCTTAAATTTGATGTTGATATTGTTTTCCATTATGTACAAATCCCTTAACATTTTGACTTAACTATGCTCAAATTCGTCTGGTTCAGGTGTTCACATGGTAAAAATGGATAAAAATTGATAAAAATTTCACCCATTCTACATGATCACATGAGGAAACGGATCAAACTTAAGCACAGTCCCAAATTCATCCAGACCTGTGTAAAGTAGCTTTAGAGTTTAGATTAATATAGATCCTTACAGCCATATATGCAGCACAACCAGCACTTCTCGTCTTTGCTTTGGAATCCACTAATCTACCGCTGATTCCAAAATCACAAAGTTTTACACAACCTCCACGATCCAGTAAAATATTGGAAGGTTTAACATCTGAAATATAATGCAAACAATGACCTTTAAGGCTCCTGCAATAAGCTCTGAATTGAATCATCAGGGGTTGGTTGTATAAAAACGTGGTTAACATTTAACTATAGTTAGTGACAGAATTGACCAATCAGAGTTATGTATGTCTGAGTTAACTATGATTAACTACGCAAAATGTAGTTAAAAGTTTTATACAAACGGCCTGAGGATTTAAAATTTAGTTGCATAAGGTGATTTTACAATACATTAAGGTACAGTTGCGGAAAGAATTTAAAATTATTGTTTTATACCTCTATGCATGACACCATGTGACTCTTTTAGATAGTGTAAAGCATTAACAACCTAAATATTATCAATGATTTATATTTTTTCAACAAAACATTTATATGCAAAATATATACAATATTGTGGAAAAATCTAGGAAGATGATAACTGCCAGTCCCTGCACATAATATATAATGTACAGAAATAAATTTAAACTACTTACTGCCACTGTCATTTTCCCCAAAATTTCTTCAGGAATTGGACCATAATTATTCTTTAATTTGTCAAAACATGTCTCCATCAACTGCATGATTATAAACACATCAGACTACAAATACAAACAATCTTTAGATATATTGATGCGCCGGACTGGAGAGTGAATCCCAACTCTTGCTTCCTGGGAGTGGTAATATTTCCTGAGGTAGGGATCTTTTAAGTGCAAATTATGTCAAAAATGCCATAATTAGAACCTTCCAGAAAATTGCCCTGAAATATTTGAAAATAATACCAATAATATAAATAGGTAACTTTCGGAATATTTGACACAATTTTAGTTAGCTATAAACTTCTAAATTAATATGAGATAGAGTTTGCATTCAGAGATGTACAAAACATGTGAAATTTGAACAATTTTGAAGCAAGTAGACTACCCATTGTTATGAGCAGAACTGATGAGCAGTAGCGACTGTAACCCACTGCAATAAGCATTATTACCTCAGATATATAAGCTCCAAAGCATGCCACAATATATGGACAATCATGACTCTTTAGAACAACATCCAAATCCATCACTATTCTTTTCTGTTCTTCTGCATTATAAGATTGACACATTTTCTACAAAAAAGATTGGAAATGCATAAACAGCTGCAAGTGCAGTTGGCATTTATACATTTCTAATAACCATTAAATTTCATTGGTACATATATAACCGAAATAATTTCTTAACTTACTTTTACAGCGAATATCTTTCCAGTAGGCTTATGTTTCATTTTTGACACTTCTCCGCATGTTCCACTGCCAATGGCACATAGTAAGTCAAAATCACTCATTGTAAATGGATATCTCTACAATTAATAGGATAACGCCAGGTTTCATTCAACTTTTACTATTTTGCTTTGAAAACTAGGATACTATTGATAGTGATGGATAGGAATATGAGAATGGTAAAAAGATTAGTATTTATCTATTTCCTACCTGTTTAAGGAAACATTACAGAGACTAACCAATGTGTACTTAGATAACATTTTCACATTAAATATTCTTACTTTTTCTTTAAACTTAAGAATTCCAGTCTTTGGAGTGAATTCTGATAATTTTCTTTGCATCTGTTTACTACCAAAGAAAAATGTGTTCACAGTGTCTGTGGCCAAAATAATAAAGCTAAAATTAATTCACTTATACCTTAATAAATCATCTGTCTTGGATGGTATACTAATAGCTTTTTTTATCTTTTTGGCTTGTTCTGTAGCTTTTATATCCAAACCTATCACAAAATATTAAATGATTAAAGTACATACTAGTCATTTTAAGATCCTGGCATATATTAAGGGATATTTTTATTGAATGAACAATATCCAATGTTCCATTCTTTGTTGCTGCATCTTGCAACTTATATAGTTTACTGAATAAACTGCTGAATAATGATCTATGTCATGCAAGAAGTGTCATGCAAGAAGTGTACAATATATACAAGAAATTGTGAGTGTGACTCTTCTTCTATTTAACCTGTTTCCTTTCATTTCCTTACAACCGGAAAAAATTAGTGCCAACTATCTTGAAAATATAAAAGCTGATTACCAGACTAATGCAGTAAATTGGACCATGAAATGCACTTCAACACACCTGTCAGCTTTAGGTTTAGCACTATCAGATACACTGCACACTGAGCTATAGGATGTTCCTACATGCATGTACTCACAAGGGCTAAATATTTCTTTAGGTATAATGTGTTGTTTTAAAACAGCTTATAACAACACCAAAAAACATCTATACTAAGCTTGAGAGTACAGAATATTTTAAATGTACATGAAACAATTGCCTTGTATGTACAATATATATTAATATGCATATCCAAGACATAAATATTTCCTTCAATGGAATGTTGTATAAGATTAAGAGATTTGATTCCAATTTTAGTTTTTTTTCAAACTTTTAACCTAGTGTCAAAATATATCTCAGGAAAGTCAACAAAAATCGCAGTATTGCTAATATATAAAACTGTAAAAATTTTAAATAAGCTACAAATACTTTAAGCTGAATCAGCTAGCTCACACACCAAGTTTAAATCCTACGAAATTAACATCGCGATATCTAAACTACCTTTTGAAGGTTTTCTTGGCCGCAAAGGCCTTGTAGGACAAAGCGGAAGTCTCAAAGAATGTTTTTTTGGTACTTTCTCGTCCTTTTTGTCTTCCATTTTTGTGCAGTCTTCGTCTAAACGAACAGTTTTCTTGCATTTTGATTTTTCACTGTCCGCCATTTTATGAACAAGTTTGCATTGTTGACGAAGGAAGTGCTGAATAGGCAAAACTTCCGGCTGGGGAAATTCCAATCCAGAATTTTCGTCACGTATATCATGCTAATTCTATGAGAGCGCCGTGAAACACGGGCGAGGAAACGTGCCGACAACAATCGTGCCGACACCTGGTGCTGACAAATGACCAGGGCGGGGAAAATAATATACACAACCGTGCCTCAATATGCCGAAAAAATGTCAACAAAAACGTAAAGAAATTCACGACACTAGTACTCTTATAAATACATGAAAAATTCACTAGACGTAATATATACTCAATCCTGAAAGCGGGAAAAGTTTATATATTTTTTCCTTTGTGAAATCTGCCCTGTGTTTATGTATCAAAATAGTAAAGGCCGGTTTACACGAGCAATTTTTCCGTGGCAATTTTTCTGTGACAAATGTATTTGATCGTGTAGATGAGATAACAAATAATTGTCGATCGCTGTTTGCGATGCGTATGTTGTGGCCATCATCTTTGCCTTATATCGAGTTCATAGCAGAGGCCTGGAAAGTCGAAATCATGTGGCTTGACATGCGGCGACCGAATGGACCGACGCCACATTTTCTGTGACGAGTAATCTACACGAGCAATTTTTCGTATGTGACAACTTTTATTTGTCATATAAAAGCTAACACTCCAGCTTTTCAGCAAATGTATTTGCCACACAAAAATTGTCCAATTTCGCTTGTCTACACGAGCAAAAAAATTGTCACATATAGTAATTGACAAATAAAAATTGCTCGTGTAAACCGGCCTTAAGTATAACAGAAAAGTGGCTTTCAAATTTCGAAAACGATGAAAAGCGACCGTACGGTATTATTGTTCAAAAATATGTTTATATTTTTTTCGGAAGACCAGTCAAGGTTATGAAAATGAGAGGAAGAGAAAACGCAAATATGCCACACCAAATTGAACTTTAGTTTCCCATTTTCTACGCCTGCGATTTGCACGTGGGCGGGAAGTCACTTCCATTTTCCCCCAACTGTTCTCTCTTTATATCCTACTTGTAGAGTAGTCCCAACCACAGTTAATAGAACTTTGTCCCAACGCAGCGTGCACATTAAACTTTCCAAGATGCTAGTGAATTAAGCTTTTTAAGCAAATGATCGCATGTGTAAATATCGCTTTTTAGTGGTTCTGTTGCGTTGTTTGGCAATATTCGCATTTCGCAGCTTTAATAAAAAGATTTGTCTATTTCAAACAAAAATTTATTATCACTGAATGGGGAATAGCGAAAACGAAATAGCAATAATCGAGAAATATTCATACGGGGTTATAGACGGGAAGTATAAAAGTCAAATGTGGTGTGGCGATATATATATGTATATGAAGAAAACACCCTAATGACCCATGCTGTTAAAATTCGAATTTTACACTAACCTGATTTCCAAACACACTCCAATTACGATAACAACCGTTTAGAAAAGCTATCAGTCTTTAATTCAATCCACTGAGACATCTACAGCTGGCTCTCCAAAAAGGAATTTTTCTGATAATAACATTACTAATATAACAATCATCGCTCCTCATACATCACCGACTTTCTATTGTAACTAATACCATGGCATGGCCGCTCGTAATAGAAACACGTCATATTCTAAAAAAGGCAAAGGAGGCGAAAGTCAGGGCTGCGAAAGCCAAAATATCTTTACTGTGTATTGTAAAACAAATAGGCACATTACCATTAAGAGCTAGCAATCATCAAAATCCATTTCTGTAAACAAAAACGGGAAAACAGAGTTCTGCTGCAAAAAGGTTTTGCCCTTGCAACGAAACGGAAGATCTATTTATATCTAATTAGAGGAGTAGTGGAGAGAACTCGTTAGTGGGGAGTCCTAAGCGGGGTTTTTGTAGGGGAAAGGGGATCACCTCCAGAAAATGACTTAATTTCTAATTTGGGGAATACTTAGTGGTGAATCAAGTGAAGTTTTTTGAGAGAGTATCATTACTTTCTTCTGAACATGGTTAGTTTGCTAATATTTTAAAACTTATAACGGAGGGCGCAGTTTTGTTGTTTCCATGAAAAACTGGTTAACGCTGCGTAGGTGCACGTGAAAATAGACATACTCCTTTTTAAATATAATTATTTTATAAAATAATTTTAATTCGGGGGTTTGAAATGGCCAGAATAAATTATCCTAGGTTCAGAGATAGCCCCCGCCGTTTTACGACTATTGAGAACAGGGGCGCACATCAGAGGGTATTAGGGGTTATACACCACCCATCATTCCTTGAATTTAGATAAAAATTGTTGGTCCAGAAACCAGCGGCGTATCTCTCGGTCCCTAAGTAAAAATACAGTACAGTTAAGAAACACGTGTACACGTGTGATTACAATTTTTGTAGAGAAAAAGGTTCTAAACCGCTGTTAAATTACGACTCAGAAATGGTCATTTTCGAGGATTTAGCGGAATCAAATCTCTCCAACTTTCTAGATAGTATTCTATATCTCTGAAATTTTATATTTTATTCTTTTGTAAGAGGGTCCCTGGAGTTGGGGGTCCCAATCCCGCTACGAACTTTCGCAAAATCCCAGTAGAACTTTTACAAGAAATCCCAGCTGACTGAGTTGTAAAAATCCTAACCTTGAAAAGGGTCAAACCATTCCCAGGAACTAAATCCCATTTTTCAGCGTAAAAATAGGGCAATCTCAGTCCCATTTTACCTCTTTAGAACCCTCTTGTAACAACCAAACAATGGCGCTTTATAACCGTAAGCTGTCCTTTCATTGCTGCCCGAAATACGCAAAAAATAGTTTCCGAGGGTTTTCAGTTTCAAAATGTTTTCCTCGAAACGTTTGGCCTCTTTCCCAATCACACATACAAGCACTACAAAAGTAGAACGTACGACACCCCTATTAAGATTCAGGCCTAGCTTGCGCATAAATAAAACCAGGCTTTAACAATAAAATACACCAGATTGCAAAAAAAGTTTTGGTTCATATGATTTTATTCAGTCATAATAATGAACATTTCTGGGAGTATAACAGATTAACGGTTAGATTTGGCCACTCTTTCCAACTCATCTTTCTTCTTGATAGCATATGAATTGGAGGAACCCTATGAGAAAACAAGCAAGAAAACATTAGTTTGTGTTGGGGAATAATAACTGATTATTGACAGAGTGTGAGGTGTCTATTGAGGTCCATGCAAAAAAACCTCGGTCTGATATTTCAAAGTACAGACCGAAAAAGCGAGGTAAATAATCTGTTTATTATATGGTTAAACTGCATGAGATATCCAAGATGCTGGTCCAGATACAGAATATACAGATATTGGTTATAAGGAATGCTCAATGCTCTTCAATAGAGGATCTTGAAAAGCCATATAATAAATAATAGTTATTATTATATGGCTTTTAAAAATCCTCTATTCTGATTGGTTGACGAGCGGTTCGTAAAACCCCATATCCGGACTGTGATCTGTACGTTGCATATCCTAGACTAGTATCTAGGACTAGTATCCCGGATGTCTCATGCAATTCAGCCATAAAATAAACAGATTATTGACCATGCTTGTTCGATCTGTACTGTGAAATATCACACAGAGTTTTTTTGCATGAACCTCAGCTCCTTGGTCCATACTAAAAAGCCTCAGTTATTATTGTTAAGGGCCAAATAAATATTAATAGTATTATATTGTAGTATTCACTAATCACAGGTGTACCTTTGCAGCATTAATCAATTCATCAGCCAAACATTCAGCAATTGACTTGATATTTCTGAATGAAGCCTCCCTTGCTCCAGTACACAACAACCAGATAGCCTGGTTAACACGACGCAATGGAGACACATCAACAGCTTGTCGTCGGACTGTACCAGCTCTTCCAATACGTGTAGAGTCCTCACGAGGACCACTGTTAATGATGGCATTTACAAGAACTTGCAAAGGATTCTAGATGGTTGAGAAAAAAAAATTGTGTTTTTGAACTGGTTTGTTATAATCATCATACATAAATCATTCATGAGAGAAATGCACTTCATGCAACTCTGAGCATGTAAATGAAATCATAGACCTTATTAAAACAAGTTAAAGATTCTTAAAGAGATCACTCACTTCTCCAGTAAGAAGGTGAATAATCTCAAACGAGTGTTGAACAATTCTAATGGTCATCAACTTCTTGCCATTGTTTCTACCATGCATCATCATAGAGTTTGTAAGACGTTCCACAATAGGGCACTAAAAGAACAAGTATCTGCAATTAATGAGAAAGTAACAAGGATATAATAGTGGACATAATTAACAAACCTGGGCCTTTCGGAACCTCTTAGCTGCATATCGACCTGCTGTATGAGGCAGATAAACAGAGTTCTTCTCTTTGACAGCAATATAATCCTACAATTGAAAAACGGGTGAGCTATTGCTTAAAAAGGTGGTTTAATGATGTATTCTATAGACATAATAAAACAGTTCATTAAAACTAACTAAAAAAGTTCAAGTACATACTGTTAAGCTGATATCTCCAACTTGAACTTCATCTGCACTCCATTTCCCAAATAATTTAATATCCTGAACCTCAGGACCAACTACAACCTGACTTTCTTCTATTGTCCAATCATCAGCCATAGTTTACTAGGTACAAATATTCTACTTTTAATATGCATAAATAATATGACCAACATTTTTTAAAATACAAAGTGATGTACAGAGTACATTTATAATATGCCCTAAGTTTAGTGCTTCAAATATAGCAAAATTACTGAGCTTCAGGGACAATTCCTTCTGAAGGACTTAAGAGTTCCAACATGGATTACAACTAGCCTATATATTTATAACAAACACTTATGGTTTGCGAGAATGGTAATCCTATAGAATTTTTCCAGTTTAGTTTTGAATATTTGTTAAAAGTCACATTCAAAAGGGTAGGCAGCTAGTCAAAATGGCTCAAATAGAAACATTGGCAGCTCCACAGGGCATTATGTACTTTCTAACCAGTGACATAATGTTATTCTCCTTTAACTGAGTATTTTCAGCTTAGCATTAGAAGATATCCTAACACAAGCCCTAACATGAACCAGACTTGACCATGTCATTTGATGGTTGGAAACAAGTGAAAACCAATGTTATCTTGTATATATACTACAGGTATTGTCTATAAAATTGATAAACTGATTTGTCTGCATTAATTTTCATTTTTCATGTCCAAAGGCAATCTATATTCAGCAGTACAGTTCAAGTATATGTATAGACACAAGAATCTTCTATTTCGAAGACCATTTATTGTATTCATATAAGAAAAAGCTATAACATATTTAATCACATGGACAGCTCATCACATAGAATACACATGTAAAATACCGCAAAAAAGACACTTCAAAAAATAATAAGCAAAAATATCAGACATAATCCTAGCAGAGTTTCAGATTTATTAGGTTAAGAAAAAATCAGACACGATTTTGATTGTTTAAAATCGATATATTTCACACAAACGTTGACTATTCTTACCCAAAAGAAGTCACCAAAAAAAAGAGCGATTACAGGCACATGGGACCGAGTTACGGGAGGGCCCTCTGATTAATGAAGGGGCATTTTAGCCTGCGAATAGGTAAACTCGTAAGTCATAATCACTGGATCACTGGATTCACTGCCGGTCAATATAATTCGAAATACAAATTTAGAACTTTTTCAATCACGTAATCGTGATCGACCCAAGAACTAAAACTTCTTTAGTTGTTTTTATTGGGGGCATTATGACATTATCCGCGTCGCGGATATTGCCAGACGGGGACATAATTTGCTAGCGGATAGTGTCCGGGGGGACACTTTCTGCGGGGGACACTATCACCAACCAATCTATTGAATAATTGCGTCTTGTCTTTCTTATAACTCGAATCTTCAGTTTGCAATTTGTTTTGTTTATCGGATTATGTTTTTTTATATTTTTTGAAATTGTCTGCTGGTCATAGGATGCTGACCTATACCCAATGACCTATACCAGGGCCGCAGAGCGCTGTAAAACACAACCCAGAGTGCTGTGTTTTACAATTTACAGCGCCCCGCCTATATGACCGAGCTCTACTATAATTCTTTGCTAAAGTTGCTATAATTCCTGACTTGCGGCCAGTTCACTGCTTACAGCATGCTTTCTATATTAAATTATGATTATTGAAAAAAACAGTTACATAATCGTATAATATTACATGTTGTTTAGATTTTTGCTTATTGACAATATTCTTGCGTTGCGTTGCGAGTTGATGTTGAAAGTTGTTTCGTGTAACATTACCTTAAGTCATGAAATGACTGAAAAAGGTTAGAAAAATGATAAGAAGAAACCCGTGATGTCGTGAAACTTTTAAGACAGAATATGTCTTCCCTTAAGGAAACCTATAGTCCCGCCTTAAAATGTACATCCATGATCCACTACATCTTTTCGTTGAATTGAGACAGTGTACGTGTACCCAGGCTGATGTCCCAATGCAAAATATTACAACTACGATAAACCTTTTAAGTTGTTATTAAATTAATTGTAAGCCAGAACAAACACACGAAATTATCATCAGGATCCAACCCTATGAAAGGTGGCTCTAAGTCAGTTTATCTATCTTTGTGATGCTACACTAAAATTAGCGTTTGTAATAATATCTGGGTATTTGCCATAGTGTTTCTCATTATGATTGAACTTCGTCGTCCTGTGTACACCAGAACATCTCAAGGAATCTTTTTCGGTAATATTTATCCATGCTGCAGTACAAATAGGGACTGACAGCTGACGCCATTAAACCAAGTATCGACGACAACGCGTGTAAATTGAAGACTACTTCAGTGTAATTGCCAATGATTCCATAAACCTGTACCAGGAGGAATGGGGTCCAAAACACGGTGTACACAATCGCAACAACAACGCAGATTTTCGTACGTCCAATATCATCTTCTGTCAGAATTATGTGAAGGGATTCCACAGCAGATACCCTTCGATACATGTGAATGTAGCTTCGCACTACAACAACAATTATACAATGAAAACATGCAAGCGTACCACACACCTAGCTTACAGTTTTACGTAAACCAATTTAAAACATTGAAAATAGTTGTGAAACATCCTAAAATACACGATAGACCAAATTAATTGCCAATTTACCTGTAACAAAAATACTTGCGCAGTACAGTAAAACAGAATACACAAAAAACACGCCGGTGAATGGATCTAAATTTCGGCTTACAAGTATACATCGATAGAGCTTTGGTGAGTCTGTTGGAAGGTTTACGATACCAGCTTGGATGAACGACACTACTGCACATGCGCTCCACGCACCAAACAGAATCTTTTTGCAATGTTCGTGGGTCAACCATGGTGACAGAGGGCGGCAAGCTATATCATGACGATTTATACTCAGCAAAGGGAAGACTATATATTGTATTGAGATACATAAAGTTGAAATGAATACACTTAGTTCGCATAAAGGGGACAACTCAATCGTATGCGCATGCTCGTTAGCGCGGTATATCAACAGGAGGAGCGTAAACACGCAACACATTACGAGATCTGTAAATGCGCCATTTGCCAATAGGAGATGATACGCTTGCTTCTGAATTGATGCGTCGGTAAAGTAGGCTCGTAAGATAACCGCATTTCCAAACAAGCCAATGATAATCGTCAGAATGTAGCAAGGGACGACGACCCATGTGACAGCGGTATATTGATTGTAGTAGTGCATCATTTAATATATCATTTAATATTTTTGCGCTTCCTTATTGATTCTGTTAACGGAAAGAAAATTTGATTACTTGGTTACAAAGACATCATGTAAAACATGTGAAGATCGTATTATAATCCTGCACCCCGAAGCACTTCTTTGACTACAATATTGTAGCAAAATCTTTGGCTAAACTAGGAATTTCCTTTTCAGGGGCTGGTTGTTCGAAAGGCGTTTATAGCTTAAAGGGTTGATAAGTTCAAAAAGAGAAATAAAATTATACATTTATTGAACAACTGAGCTAAAATATTTCGATGTAAATAGCCGTTTAATTTTCAATGGAAGAACATATTTTATGCATAAGATGCAGGTTCAACCATTTTCCCGCTGAAGATCGTTGTTCGAAAATGCGATATTTTTATGATATTTTATATACATGCCGATCGATCCTTTCCACGACTAATCAACTTTGTGTGATGAATAGTTTGTTATAACAACAATGTAAGCTACCCAAGATCACAGATAAAGCAATAACTTATATTTTTAAAACACATCAACATGGTGAAAACATAAAGCAAATGATTATGACATAAAGCCAATGACAAGATGATCTATGAGAGTATTTTTGAACTTTGGCTTATCCACCGTTTATTAAGCTAAACGTCTTTCGAACAACCGGTCCCAGGAGCGCAACGTGAGGGGGATGCGAGGGATTCTGCACCCCCATTTTAAGCAAAGTGAAACGCGAAGTTGATCGTTAATGGCAAAATAGCATCGATGAACGCGTCTGTTGGTGAATCACTTCACTTCACGTTCCACGTGTTCTTACGGATGAACGTGCATGGGTGTTACATTGACCTCAGCCTTAATTTTTCTGGATATTCTACTTAGCCTCATCCAATAATCTCTCTGTTTTAGAACGCACACTGGAAATACGGTATATATACAGAAGGAACTCCGTTTTTCCCGGTGAATTATCTCTAGTTTTGCAAGACGCAATCAGTCAATTTTATATGAATTTTTCAGATGGCCTCTCTAATTAACGTTTCAGTGGAAAAAATTTGGGTGGGACACGATATTGAGCTCTGTAAATCCAGCTGCCTTTTAGCAATACGTATTCCAGAAGTTTTGAATCCAATGGCTGAATTATTTCCGCATTATTGAATAGTTAAAATGCGGCAATGATCAGATTTTCACACAACTCGATCCCCGGCTGACCTGGCATCAGTTTGCACTTTTCCGCAAATGATACGAATCAAATCAATAGTAACTCAAAAATCTTAGTCTCTATTCTGGAAAGTCTGGCAACGCTCCACGGCCGGTGTTTCTTGGTTATTTTACACTCATAGGCGCTATATAAAGTATATAATATACTTTCTACTGTACAATTAAAAATAGTATCAGTACGCATACACTGAAAGATGTAAATATAGAGAAACACATACCCCACTTTCACAGCGGTTCCGAAAATGTTCAACTTAATCGTTAGAGATAAATTCTTGCACTTTCATACACCGTAATGTATTTATGAACTGTATTCCCTCTTGCCAGCTGTTTTATATATTCTCTGTCACTCTGTCATGTCAAATTATGTCGGCCAATCAACGCTTCAATTTCGGCACCACATTTTGTCGCAAAGAAATATAAGGGCGCAAATGGCTGGAGATAAAATCTAATTTAAATTCATTGTAACCGTGCAAATATCATCAGCGCCGGATTCTGAATTACAAAAGTTTAATTGAAATTTTTAATATATTTGCATGTCTTACGCTAGACCTCTGAAATTATTGCAATATAGTATTCTAAGATTTTCTTACTTCTCTCTGACAAGTAAACGGGAAGGAAAGTAGATTTGTTAAGAAATTTTGGGTAAAAAATTGACTGTCAATTGTTCCTGTCAAATATTGTATTCAACAAAAATTCCACATAATAAAACAACTTGCTTGCTAACCTCGTATACTCGGCTGTAGAAATAATATCAAACCATGGCAGCCCGTGGTTTATTAGGGGGGGGGTTGAAACTGAGCCGAAGGCTAATGACATGGGGAAGCACCAGAGACGCGAGTTTTTCAGGGAAGTGGGAGGCATGCTGCCTGAACAGGGAAATGTTTAGTTCAGAGACTAGGTTGAACTGTCAGCAGCACTCAGGAACATCAGAGGAGTGAACAGTCGCCGTGGGTCAAAATAGGCCCGGGCCCACTGTGTCTAGGGCACAAGTGAAATGTGAAGAATGATTAAGACTGATTTCTTCAGTTTATTCTGCGATGGCTTGTTAGGATGCGTTTAATTCATTTCCGTAAGCAGAGACGTTATTCCCTTATATCAAAACTTTTTTCCCCTAAACCCTGACCCCACACCCAAGTCTTTAGAATACCACAATGAAGATTTAAATTACATTTGATATATTATTCAATAGCTTGCAACGACACTATAGCCATATTTACAGCAACAAAAGCAAAAATAAAGACAAGTAAAAAGTATTTTGACTATCAGTTTCGTGAGCTCATAAGAGTTTTGTTATAACCAGATTAAGTCTCGTGTGGCAAGGAATGTAAATAACCTAACTGATCTTAATCAAGTCTTTTCAGTATTTAATCTTCACTTAATGTAAATTTAAAAATATTAATAAATTTCTTTCGATAATAGTGATCCATATAGGAATAAAGATATGGATTCACAGCCGACGCTAAGACACCTGGGACAGAGGACAGTGCATGCAAATTAAAAACGACTTCAGAATAACTCCCAAACAGCCCTGTAAGTTGCACAAGAAGAAAAGGGGTCCAAAAAACAGTATACACCATAGCCACAATCATGCACATCCTGGTGCGTCGCGTGTCGTCGATGGAAAGGACTGGGTCGGATGGGCCTGAGTCATGTATGGCCTTGTAACAGCGGTAGGCTATCAAAGTCGATACAGTGTAGAGTAGAGTCGAATACCCGATAAAGAAGATCGTATATGTATCCCATTTTGTGTTTACCAAAATGCATCGATACATTTTTGGCGTGTCGTCGGTGCCGATTCCGTTACGTAGTAGTAGGATTTGGATTCCTGAAACAGCGAGGCATATGAACCATCCAGCTGCTAGCAGCCTCCTGCACTTCGAGTAAGTAAGAAAAGGAGTGGCGTTATTCAGCACCAGGTCCCGGCGATTGAGAGCGAAGAGCGGGAAAATGACGTACTGAAGCGAAATTGCCAATATTGATGAAAATACGGAGAGTTCGCACAGCGGTGAGCTCTCAATAACCCGCGCAGGCGCATTAGAGCGATATAGCAGTAACAGCGGTGTGAAAAAGGCACAGATTATCAGGTCGGCGACAACTCCATGCGATAAGATCAAGTTATAAGGTCGATTCCAAACCCTCTCACCAGTGAGGTAAGCATGGAGTACTACCAGATTCCCGAATGTACCCGTCACGATGACGAATATATACGAAGGTACGACGAACCACGTGACCATCGGATATTGTTCGTAGTACATTATTGTATTCAGCAACGAGTCGACTTTCTTGATATAGCTGTTTTACCTGAAATACACGACACAGCATTGCATGAACCAGCCATACATAAATTAAACAGCAGAGCAACAGGTCGAAAATACTTCATAATGTCAAGCTTCAAGTCGCTGAACTTAAGCATTAATATACACTGACATCTTGTAATCTTTAAGAATTACGACAAGGGTGGGCCAAATCCTAAAGTCTACAAAGAAACTTCACCAGAAAATGAAAATGATATAGCTAGGTAGGACGAGAAAAGGTTCAATGTGAGACAGCTCTAGGCTTTTACGCATGCATTGCTTTTTGACAGGAGATTAACAGGAGAGAATGAAATTTAAGTGAATTTAATGAATTTTACGAGACACTTGAGGCTGTAAAAGCCACGAAGCCCATAGCTTAGGAAGTTTTATATCAGTCTTTCAGTCCCAAGAATTCACATCAGGGCCGGAGGGCATCGTTTTTTTCGCACAAAACGGAAGAGAAACGCTTCCCTTACACTTACCTCTAAACGCAGCAACATTCAATATTCAATACGTTCACGGACAGTTATATTTTCCGTCAATATTTACCGCCGAACTGTCCTGATATCGTGTTTTATCGATATTGCAATTATAAGTATGCAAAGCCTCGGACTGCCTCCGACAATATAGGTAGATAATAGCTAGCTTGCAGGTGCTAACATCAAAACAGAGGAAACGAGTTATTTTTCAATTTGTATGTTAATACATCGAGATAAGATGATGAATTCTATTAACATTGGACGTTTGAACTTGAGTACAATGGACGCAGATCGATGATACTGAACTAAAAAGAGTTGTGAAAAATCCTGTCCTTATTCTTAATACTTGCGTAATAACACATTATAATAATATGAAATTCATATTAATCCGAAACAGCGGGAGAAAAGTTAAACTAAGTTGTCTGGAGTCGAGCGGGATTTAGGAGGATTATTGTTTGAACCCACATGTTCGGGTTTCTAAACCGTCGTTCTATATCACGAGTTTTCGCAACAACTTGGATTGGTAATTTATTTACAAAATCGCAAAGTGAAATTTCGTCACATTCGGCATTTATTAAACAGCAACTTGTCTCGCGCCTCAGACAGAATTAATCCGAAAATTTTTTATTTTGAAAATCCCTTTTTAATTAATTTTATGAAAAAAGTGGCGCTAAAAAACCGAGCAGCTGAAGCTGAACAGGTCAAACGAGATATCATAACACAAAGAGACAAGATGTTCCTGTTTTTTAGGCAATTTAGGCGATGTAAATCAGACGGAATCTAAGCTGATACACAATATTTACTTCAATTATAATGAACAACGTTCGTCACAATTTAGGCAAGCCAGGGATTTTTCAATTTCCAAAAATATAATTTGTACTATCCCCATTATACATAATTTATAACAATACCTTAAAAAATATCAACAATCGTTTCTTGATGGTTTTACTTGATCCAAAATCGTTTTTAGACTACGAAAAAGATTTGAAAGAGATTCAACATCCGACGGATAAGAAGTAGGAGTTTTTCTTTTCTCCTCATCGGAACTTTTGACCTTCAAATCTTGGGATTTTGTGTTGTTTAAATTTTCATACAGTCTTTTTTCTTGAATATCAGCAATTCTCTTCAGCAAACAATCTCTGACTTCGTCGACAATATGAAGACCTTCCTTGAGCGTGTGCAACTCATCTCCTGTAGTAGTTTTCACGTCATCTTGGGCAGTCCGCAAAGTCTGTAAAAATTACAATTATTTTCAGAATGAGTATCTTCGATTTTTCATCCACATTAAGGAAGACGTTGACTAGAGTAGAATTCACAATGATTTATCGTTTTGTAACTATCGTTAACACGTAGCAGACTCGGAATGAACCCCGAACTCTTGAGCTTATATTGTAGACAATTGGTGTTCAGCATTTGCAGAACCTAATACCATGAAATAAGACCAAAAAGTCCGTATAAAGTTCAAAATTGTCGGGGACAATTTGTTCCTGGTACGAGCCAGGAAGTATTACCAACCTCCATGCATTCATTCGCATAGCCTGTAGTAGACTCTATATCGGTAGACGTCAGTTATGACGTGTAATAAAGGAATACCAAATGATTTTCCGTGCAGGATTGCGTGATCCATGCACGCGGGATGTTGCGAGACTTTCGGAAAGCGTGAAAATACACGAGCCGTAGGCGAGTGTATTTTCACGCTTTCCGAAAGTCGAGCAACATCCCAAGTGCATGGATCACGCAATCCTGCACGGAAAATCATTTGGTAATTGTTTTATAAAATAACTGTAGTGAAACAACGGTTAACTTTATTAAAATTAAATTTCGCGTGCAGGATTGTCTAAAACGCGTGCAGGATTGTCTGATCCTGCACGGCTATTGACCAATCACATTGCGTGTTTCACTATAGTTATTATATAACACATTATGAAATACCTCTGGAGCTCGTGTCTTCTTTGGTTCCTGTTTTTCAGATTTAGTTTCAACTTGGCCTTGATAGTAAACTGTTGTCTTACACATGGGCACACCATTACTCCTTCTTGAAGTCTTCGCCAGGTTACGATAGATTTCTTTAAGTGAAAAAAACGAAGAGTGAAAAGTCAAGTCAAGGCCCATGACGTTTTTGATGTTGCTCGAAAACGAAGCAGCATTAGACGCATTGTTGTAGTGAAGGAATTGCGAATATCCATGTATACCCTCGGGCCTCGACCGATCTCGAAATCCGGCATGGGAGAACTATTTGGTGCCGATTGTTCTATAAAATAGCTGCGGTGAAACAACGCGTCGCTGAAAGTCTGATATTACAAGAAATTTGAAAACTTCATACCTGGGTACGAAGTTGGGAATGCCGGTTATTGCCTCGTAACCGCCCGTTACAGTTTTTCCTTAGGGGAAGTTGAAAGTAAGGTCTCTAGTCTAATATAAGCTGGGGTCGGTGATGTTAAATAAAATAATTTCTTAAAAAAATCCTGCATACTGGCCTGGTCAAGATATTTTTAGGTAACGGTATGAACGAACCTGATACTGGTATTAACGCCTGTATTCTAAAAGCTCACTCACACTCAAATTCATTGAGTGGGAGATCTTAATCTTCTCATAACGTTTCAATGGCGGTATTTCGAGCCGAATAGGGGCTTAATTTTCAGTTATCTATCTACCTTATATCTTTCCATCTATTCAGAGAAAACTTTCTCATTGATCGGCATTAACAAAATTTATATGTCACACTCTTTTTGAATACAAGCGTAAGTCTTCTAACAAATCTGTCTGGAATGTTTACAAATTAATAAGGAACATTTCCCACCCTACCTAAATTGTCAATAAGCGGAACAAATAGAAACAAGATTACTTGAACAAACAACTCTAAAGTTGTTAGTCAGAGGAATGTAAGTAGCCAGAAACACGAAGAGAAGCTGATGTATCACTTCTCGTTCTTTTCTAAATATGCCTTCAATATTTCTTTGAGACTGCATAGGCTTTAAACCAACATACCATGTATTACACAATGAATTTCCTTTGCTATGGCACGATCGCCAGCGAGACGGATATTAATACTAAAATCCCAAAAAATTCTCATCTGCATTTTAAATACATACCAGAGCCTGTTTCGTTTAATCCAGTACAGCAAACTGGAGTCACAAGTCGTCGTTGCCTGCAGTTGTACGCCCCTTCGTTATCAGACTGGTAACCCTGTCCGTAAAACTCTTTTGTTCTACTTTTTACACCTGAACTGGTGCTTTTCTTCAACTCTTCATTTCGCCATTGTTTCAGTTTAGCAATCACCGTTTTTTTGTCAGTTTTTTGTATTCCTTCCAAAATTCCGCCTTGTTTCTTCGCAACTGACAAGTCAGGTTGCTTCGCCTGACAGAATGGAAGCATTGACTTTGGACGCTTTTGTCGTTCTGGTTTCCTGACAATATTTATATCATGTTGCAGCAATTCTGAGTGCGGTCTTCGGCCAGTATCATTCAGATGAAAGCCTGGATTCATACTGCCTGGCTGTGTTTCTTTATTCTGTCCTATCGAAATTGGACGCCTTCCGTTTATGGCGGAAAACTCATTTTTGCATAGCTCTGAGTCACGTTCTCGATCAGGTTTGTTGAAGCTCCTTCCTTCGTCAGAATGAAACAACTCCTGATCTTTTGATTTACCAAGCAAAGGTCCCATCGATCTAGGGCGATCTCGTTGTTGTCTCCGGGTAAATCCTGACTTATAATTCTGTCCTTTCAACTTATCATTGTCCCGATTTTCATAGACATTAGCCCTACTAGCGCCTACAGAACCATTAGCAATCGAACCGTTTGCTGACGAATGAAATGACTGGCAAAATCCCATACAAAGACGTTCAAAACTGAGCAATCCATTCGCCGGAGTGACTTTACGTAGATGTTCTAGCACTCCTCTTACTTGCAGAGAGTACCCGTTCATTCCGTCTCTCTGTCCCCAAAAAGCTTCAATATCACTCAACTTCACCAAGCCAGATTTACTCGTATCCAAAATATTGAATAGCGTTCTCATGTACCTGATAAATTCTGGTGGAAGTTTCTTGTCCGCCTTTGCTTCACAAGAGGTTATAAATGTTCGACCTTTAGCTCCACCATTCTGGTTTTCATCTTTCGATTTCTCAAATATAAACAGATGATTTCCGAGCTTCCGAGTTTGTACGGATTCCATCATCAGAACTCAACAGAAAAGCACGCGCCTTTCTTTTGATTTAACGCTCTCAAACGGCTCTATAACAATCAAACAATGAAGCCAAAACTTGATAGGTAAGTTGATCTGGGTTGGCTTGTTTTGATCATAAATAATCCCACATAACAATGTAAAGTAAATTATTTGAACAACCTGATTAAATTGAGTGTCGTGTCATTTGTGAAAATGCCAGATTGTCGGCTATTCTATATGCATGTCAAAAAGCCCCGAGGTTGAATTGTTTTATTACTTCGCGAGGGATTTTTATTATATATTAATTCGTACACAAAAAGCCCCCAAGACATAAAGAGTCGTGGCGGGTTTCTTTTAAGTTTTAATTTTCTATGTTTTGTACTCAAATTACTGCGGAAGCTGAAATTAAGAGTGGAAAAAAACCCGCCGATTTCCGACAGTTTGTAAAATATCATATCGCCCACATTCTTTTCCTTGGGGGAATTTAAAACCTCCGAGGAACGTCTAATTTCAAAACCATACAAAAACACAGGCTATAGTTATGTCCGAATATGACTATCTCTAACAGCATTTGAAAAACATAAATTCGAGACAATGTCAAGGCAGTAAATGAAGCTTAGTGTTCTTTTTCTTGTCTCCAGTTTTTCTGAATTAAACATGCTCAACATGTTCTCGTCCCCAGACTTTCTTAGATAATATGAGAGAGATAGTTTAAATGCTCTTTTTCAATCAAGAGGCTAGTTGGGGAAATCAACAACATGTACATATATTCAAAATCTTCTTAAATACTCGATTATCAATTTTTAGAATTCTCCCTCTTCCTGTTTTCACGACATTTGTTTAATCTTATCTTTGTAGGTTGGTTAATGCTGAAACTACGTTGGTATTTTCTCTACATCCACCAACCACGATATTTCTTGTGAATACCCTTCGGTTGTCATTACCATCTATCAACCTCCAATCAATGTCATCTATCATTGTCCTTATCTATCCAAACATATCCATATATGAATCTAGTTGCTTTCGTGGATTTATTTTCACTATTTTTCTCCACCATATCCACATTTGCCCTCGAAATTATTGTACTGATATCAGAGCACATTTCTGAGAAAAGCTATCTTCAAACATTGATTCTTGGAAATGATAACCATCAACTTTTGCCACCTCATGTCAAAGCACTCAAGCGGTTCACTATTCCTTCGGCTTCTGTCGTTTCCAAAACTTTTTTACATCATCATGTCCTGACTTGCTCACAATCATAACACGTTTTGAGGAATTTGCCCAGGTCAGAACTCCCAGATCCTATGGATAAAAAGTGAACGAATAGTGAAGCGTTTGAGCATTTTGCTCTGTCCACCTCCACAGAGCCTGGACTTCTTGTGGATTGAAAAGGGAAGAAAAAACGCTGTTTATGTCAACTTACTTCTGCATACTTTCGCAGGGTTTCAAAGTCAGATAAAGACAGAAACTGATTGTACAAAACCCCTGAAAAATAATAAGAAAAATCACGTCTATATTCCGTAAGCAATATTCAGTCGCCTGTGGAATATGCGTGGCTAAACAATATGGTGGTTACCTTCAGTCAACTGCATTCGGCATTTCTCCAATTCCCAAAGACGAATTTGATCAGCAATATTTGCAGGAATCACAGGGTTCTTGGAAATAAAAAAATTGACAATATGCATTGTAGATCCATGCAAAGAGATAAAGATACTAAAACTTTAAAACTGCAAAATCCGCTTAGGAAATGTCGCAACTCTTGCAATAATGGCTGCAAATCTTGTATACTGTAACTAATGTGAATTTTCCACTATAACGTCAGTAATGTTTTACATGGAATTATACCTTTCTTAACATCTCAGCATGGGCTCTTGTTCTGAGAAAATGAAGGATCTATAAAAGGAGATTTTAAAAGGAAAATTTTAAGTGTTCCGAGAATTCAATATATCAATTCAATGAAATTGTATGAAATGAAAATCTACAGTTTTATACAATTCAAAATCTGCGCAGTACCTGATCCGCTGTTATACCGCTCAAGAAAGCCTAAAGGTAAAATAGATTTTAAATTTATAAATGCGATAAGAGTACTTTGTATTTGTATTTGTATTTAAAATTACTTTGCAGCCTAAAGGCTGAATTACGTAGTCGTTACAGTTAAAACTATTGCATCAATAAAATTATAGCTATAACTGTTGTTAAGAAACATTAAGATTATTGATATAAGTTAGTAAAACAGTTTCATTTTGAAATTAAAATCGAACAGAGAGGTAGTTTAACTTATAATGTCATATTTTATGTGATATTTCTATGTAGCTAATATTGACATTAACCGACCTGACTAACGCTTTCCCGAGTCAAGACAGCAACACAAAACTTTGGAAACCTTCAGAAGAAAAATAATATCACTACAATCTAGTGGAATGCTTTCGGCTTTTCGTAGTTCTGATAACCACCGAAGTAAACAGCCATTCCCTAAAGTCCTACATAGATCTAGTCGCACATATGTATATTTAATCTTATTAAATTTTGTGCATGATAGGACAAGAATTGCTAGAAATTACAGACAAACTGGTAATTAAGACATTCAGACCAAAATTGTCCACTTGCATAATAGTCTAACTTTTGATTTAGGCAATTTCTGAAAAGGGCATGTTAGACTTCGTAAAATTGCCAAGTTTGGCTGCGAAATATTGTAATGTACCGAAAATATAGTCAAATTTTGTATATTTTTGCCTTATTACCAGAACTGTGACTTAGTGTGAAACTATATTAGTTACACACTTCCGTGTTACACACTTCCGTTCGTAATAGAAAAGTATACAAAAACGGCCTACTTTGCATGGCTATATTTTCCATACTACTTGTCATTTTGCAGCTAAAATTGGCAATTATACTAATTGATTAGGCAATTATACTATGCACTAGAAGGTGATTTATTTCGTCTTGTTACCTAGATCATAAGTTGGTCTATTATGCAAGTGGTCCATTAATGGGTAGTAGAAAATCAGAAGATAACATATTTACAACCATTCAGGATATTAAGTCTGATCGAACGATGATATTGTTTCTGCCAGACTCAATATCACTTCAGCAATGACTTGTTTAACTATAGAAAGATCTTGTTTACCACGATGTACTTTCGTCTGTATCTTAAACGCGACGGGCGTGGTGTTATGTATAATTTTGCCTGGGTACAAAATGATTTTAGACTACATAAGTAGTAATGTATCTTCACAGATAAAGTAGTAGTAAAGTATCTTCACAGACGACGTACAGCCAGACACGTGATGCATCAAAAAACGTCAAACTTTCAGAAGTATTTGAAAGGTTTTGTACGAGTGCAATACGGTTGTTTCTTCGGAGAAGAGGATAATACCCAGCACAATTTAGAAAATTTTCATGCGGGCAAAATATGGTGTATTGCAGTGATCAAACTACCAGAACTATTTGCTGTAAAGTCATATTTCCACTCCACGACGCAACAAACCTGCATATTATTTCACAAAATAATCCAACTAAGGCAACTTGAAGGGGAGAATCTGCAATTGGCGAAATCATTTACGTATATAAAAAAAAATCTCATGCAATTCCCATATACACACAAAATATGAATTCTGATGGTCACTCTTACCAGTATAAACATAAACTCTGTAATTCGTTTCAACCATGATAAAACCTTCAACACCCTCACTTGCCGTCGCTATATTTCCTAATGAAAATATAATGAATGCACATTAAAAAAGACTCAGGATTTCATAAATCCAAGTAAATTTCATTTGTTTAGAGACCTGAGCCAGCTACAGCCAAATTTATGACTAGCTTAGTTGGATAATATCTTCGCGATTTTCGCTACAAAAAAATGAACATTTGAATTGAGAAAAGGTGTGCCACGCATAACATTGAAGTGAAAACTAAAGGCCCGTTTACACTTGCAATTTTTGCTGCGATTTTCTTCTTTTGATAGATGTAAACGAGTGAATTACTGACTGATGTTCAAGAGCTCTTATTAATCAGAGTATTCGTAACTAATTACTCATTCACATCTATCAAAAGCAAAAATCGCAAGTGTAAACGGGCCTTAAGGGAACATGATTTATTCATGCAATGCAGTAGGTAGGCGAATTGAGTGGGGGGTGGGTGTTGACAAGCTCAGTACACTGGAATCATCACGTCTAGAAGTATATGACCCACGCATTTGTTTTTATTTTCTGATGCCCACCATCGACTGAATTTATTGTTCCCCCTCCCCGTAATTCTTACCAGCCCACATCTATCATAAATAATAATGAAAGCTAGCTCCCTAACAAAACTTTTTCAACAAAATTATGTAAAATTGTTGAACTCAACTCAGGTATTTTGTAAAAAACCTTAAAGAATAAATCATCATCAGTACCTTACGCTGGAACACTAAGCCAATTTCACGAAGATGTTGCAAGAAATTGAATTGTGATTCTGTCATGTTATCTGTGGGATAGTCCTATAAGGGATAAATCCAATGAGATTTTGTGATAAGATCTGTAAATGGCTGGAAGCATCTTTACCTTTCCAAATGTAGAAAACGTAAGTTGGAAAAGAAAGGACAGACACTCAATAAGATCCATGCCACGAGCCTGTAAAATTGAGGTATAAAAAATGATGATCTGCATTCTACTGATTTGATAATCAGGTTCAATGTTAAGTGTTGACAGACACTCTGATCACCAGGGTATACTGAGGAGAGTTCAGCAGGCAGGCGTTAAACACAAGTTTGTGGTGTATACATATGTAGAGACAGTAGAGTACTGGCCAGTCTCATAAGGCAGTTGTGTCAGAGTAACCACACAACTAAGGTTACTTGAATGAAATGCAGACATTCACAGATTTTACTCTATTTCAAAACGTTGAAACCAAATCACCTGCAGAAGAGTCATCTGTGCAGTCATTCTCTCTTCTGAATTAACCATTTCAGCTAATTTAGTTTCTTATGGACAATGCTCAAGAGTCATGATTTACTTGTACGTACCTCAACCATATCCAAATACTTGAGCATGAAGTACCAGATTTGAGAAGATACGTCCATTAAGAGAAATTGAAATCCTGAAGGTGTAATCATTGGAGTTTGTTCTTGTTTATCACTGAAAATGATGAGAAAAGAACAAAAATAACAAAAAATTGCAAACGGGACCTCACCCTCAATTAAACTCAATAAATATTCAATTCAGTTGCATCAGAATTACTTGGAAAATGTATTCTTAGGTAAGCTATAGGTCATCTTCACATGGTGTATATTAAAACAGAATATTTGGGAATCTTCAAGAGAAAATTCTCACAAAAGAAAGGTGAAGATCGCCACAGGAGAGTGAATTATTAACTACAAATTGCTATATGCAAACCTTTTCATTAAACCAGATACAATAAGGACTTGCACCACATCAGCACTTATTCCAACTATCCCATCAGGGGGGGATGATGCAGTCATGAAATGAAGTACAGACTATAATGAAGGGAAGATAGTGTATTTTAGAATGATTATGACAGACAGATATATTGTTTTCCAAATATACAATAAGAGCGACAAAATATTGTCATGATTACATAATTTGTAGTAAGCTCAATAAAGATGTTATTATAGCATTGAGGATGACTTCATTGATTAGTGCATTGGTGTTGATATATATGACCAATATGACACGAGGGTCAGATATTGGTGATGATGTCAATGATTGTATTGGTTATACTGATCTATAATGAATTAGTAATATACTAAATACAGTTATGAGAATGAATGTAATGTATTGATTTTTTGGGCAATTAATCGGTCATGGTATTGACTGATAATTGACTGATAATGATATTACCAACAGTAATTGGATGATATTGATGATGTTACTAAAAAAATAATTAAATTATATTGATGATGTTATTAAAACAGTCATTAAATGATATTGATGATGTTACTACAACAATAATTAAATGATATTGATGATGTCACTACAACAATAATTAAATGATATTGATGATGTTACAACAGCAGTTGTTGGTATAACAAATAATGTTTAAATTAGTACCTCCCATCGTTCTAAAGCATATTTTTCTAAGAAATCTTTGTCTTTGGAATGTTTGTCAGGTCCTAGATCATCAGTTCCACCACACCAAGACTGCCCACTATAAACATGCAAGCACAATCATCCAAATGTTTGTACGATTTTAATTAACATACAAATTTTCAAAACCATCTACAGTGTGCGGTAAGCAAAACACAGTAGTTATACCCTCCACAAAGTGCAATTTTCAAATTCCTTCTGAATGTTGGATTTAATTCATATCTTGGCTGTGACCATCCAGTCACCACATGCCATATTCTCAATTGTTTCAACCTATTGAGTGCACCTGTGCAAAAACTAAGAAGAGAAGTATTGATTCATCAATTCAAGGGCATAGGTAAAACCAACAACCGTGACATAGTGTCATAATGTTACTGCAAATGAAGTCACCCAAACAGATCTAGATGGTTGGAGGGCAAAAAATAATCTTATATTGCTGCTTTAGTGGATAGGATGAAATGAAATTTCTAGCTGGAGTAAACACTAAGTTAAAAGAGGGGTCAAAACATTCCAAGGACATTTGGCTACCCTAATCTCCAAATAAAGGTACCTATAATTTAATTTGCCATTTGGAAACAAAAGTTTTTAAATTAGGATATACTAGTGGTGGTGCAAAGTTGGTAAATTTTGGAGGAATTTTAAAGGGAAAAATAATTAGGCATTGTTAAGGTTTTGGGGCTATTGTTCACCCATTGTGCCCCTTTGCAATTTTCTCATGATAAATAGAAAATTGTCCTTGGAGAGGACTGGGGGCATGTATCCCCTTTTAAAACCCCCCTGTGGGGGTACTGCATGCTACAGCATATCCCTGATAGTATTAATTTTGAAGTTCAGCGTTGCATTTAAGAAAATAAAATTTGTTACTCACTTTTGCTGGTCTTTCTTGACCCATGCATTTACAAGCGTCTCAGGTAGTGGTTGTTCAGCAAACAATGTACGCATTACAAAATGTTTGCCTAATTCTGGTAACTCCCTACAAAAAAGACATTTAGAGAACACTTATGGATGCAAACAAAATAAAAATCACGAAGGACATGGTTTGTAAAAGCTATAACCTTATGTCCTTCCGGAACGTTATTTTTTTGGAAATTTTTTCGTTGGAAATTTTTTCGTATAAATTATATCCGGCGTGTTTTAATATGTAGAAATGATCATATAAAGTATAAATATTAAATATTCTGTCTGGACCCCACAAATATTACGTATTTACCTAAACACAGCAAAGCAAGTTGCAGAGTGTCCATATAATTTATCAAGCACACTCACAGGCAAACCTTGTAAATATTCGTGGAGGTTTTTGCACTTCAAATGACGGCCAAACGGGGTAGTTTCCTGGTTGCCGCCGGCCGCCATATTGAATTATAAACATTGACTATCCAGTGTCGCCTGAGAACAGTGCTAATTATTCCAAATTACAGCCGGAAGCAGCGGCGGGCGCTTCAAACAACTTCGCATCAAATTGTGATCAAATGAAATGTGGTATACTAAGAGTGGTAAAAATAGGTATGCAATGCATACATGTGGGTAGCCTCCAAAGCATTGGCAAAGGTTTTCAAGTTTTGCTCAATGTTAAATGGCAGGCCGCACGCAAAGGCAAAAATGGGCTAGTTTGTTAGTTGGATACAGTTATAATGAAATACCAATGAAATACCATTTCTGCGATTAATTTATCTGAAAGTTTAGGCCAGTTTACACCTGTTTACACCGATCAGGCTGACAAAATTTCGGCTCTGCCCAGTCTTTTTCGTAGATAAACAAATCATCGCTCATCGTTTTTTCGCGAACGGGCTACCCACTTTAGACAAAAAACTTTAGCAAACTTGTTAAATACGAATAAACAAGTTAATTCAGTAAAATAACTGTTCATTTTGTTTATAGCGGGCCGGTTTGTCTAAGTAAGAGCAGCTACCCCGCAACCTCGTTACCTCGCTGCCCGTGTAGCTCCAGCGCCTGTTTACTAAATTAAACATGAAACTTAAAAAAAAAATTTTTTAATCCAAACTTTGCAACTCAGAAAGATGAATTTCTCTACTTTAACGTCGAGGAATATTTCATTTCCATGATTCAATTAATTATAAATTTAGGCCAGGGGTCATCCCAAGAAAAATTAAATAAATACATTGAACTCAATGGTTGAATATTAGCTCTCATCCGGGGCTTCGACTCTAGCTGTTGTCCGGCGCGCTCGCGGCCGTTGCATTTCTTCTGGACAAGCGCGCGTACGAGGTACAGCAAAATACAGAAGTCAGTGTATTATATGTACGTGTTATATATAGAATTCCCGCAATTCACGTTTTAATATACGACACTTAGGGGCTGTTTATATGGCTATGGAATTCCCGCGATTCACGTTTTCATATGCGACACTAAAGGGCTGTTTTACCTGTTTATATAGCTATAAAATTCCCGCAATTCACGTTTTCATATGCGACACTTTAGGGCTGTTTTACCTGTTTATATGGCTATAAAATTCCCGCAATTCGCGTTTTCATATGCGACACTTAGAGGCTGTTTTACCTGTTTATATGGCTATGGAATTCCCGCAATTCACGTTTTCATATGCGACACTAAAGGGCTGTTTTACCTGTTTATATAGCTATAAAATTCCCGCAATTCACGTTTTCATATGCGACACTTAGGGGCTGTTTTACCTGTTTATATGGCTATGGAATTCCCGCAATTCACGTTTTCATATGCGACACTTAAGGGCGGTTTTACCTGTTTATATGGCTATGGAATTCCCGCGATTCACGTTTTCATACGGCAGGCTTGCCTGGATAGAGATTATTTACAACGCCTTTATTGGCTTTGCGTTAGCATCTATAGTATCAGCATCCCAGCTTTTGTACGTTTTTAGTCATGTAGTGTTCTATAAAAAGAAACGCTGAGAAACTTTAAAAATTGGTTCCATATTCAACAAATAGTGGCCTATGATTACTCCATGAACAGGGGGGCCTCGGCCCTCTAGACACGCGAACAGTTTGAAAATGGAAATTTTATTAGAATCTCAGAATTTACCTCTGAGTTCCACGGCCACCGATTTCAATGGAATCTACATCTTGCGAAATCGAAAGTCGAAACCAATTTTTGTTGACGTTGTAAATTGTAATTCCATTGAATGACAATTACATAGAATAAAGTCACGCATTGAAATTCTATAGTACATGTGCTCGTAAATGGTTACCGTTTTTCAAAATTTAAGGGTCTTCAAAAGATCGATTCGTCTGTTTCGATATTTTTATCCACTCGTGGCAAAAGACGTTAGCGTTAGATCGGTAAGAGCTATGTAAATGTAAAATAAATTATATTTAAAGAGAAAAGTGGGCAAGAAATTAGCTATTTCGCTATATATTTAGATATTAACTGTGCGATGACAGAATAACTACCGTACTTTGCGTTCTAAAGTACAGTAAATTGAAATTGTATACATAGTACATACATTGTATAAATAGAAAGTCTCACTTTTCCCAACACCCCAGCTGTCATGAGCAATTTATGTGAACAAAGTTATAAAGGTGTAAAATTAAATCAATTATTAACTATTGATATTATTAGAGTTTAAAGGGTCTTAATTTCGAGAGGAATTATACAAACTTCAAATTCAGGCCAGGAACAGTTGATGAAAAAATGAGTCAACTATTGGTCCTCCAGCAGCATTTCAACCTACACTTTTGCGATGCCGGTGCAATGCTCTTGCCTAAGAGCCTATTTTACCCTCACCTATTCAGGGCATTACCATCACACATACACATGCTTGCTCTTGTCAGCTACTTCTGTAGCTCAGTGGCAAGAGCATTGCACTGGCACTGCAAAAGCATAGGTTCGATTCCTGCCGAAGGACCGATAGTTGACTCATTTTTCCATCAACTGTTCCTGGCTTCTTGAATTTGAAGGGTGTATAATTCCACTCGAAATTAAGACCCTTTAAACTCTAGAATTTACCTGCATTGAGTGAAGTGCCAAAAATCATAATTGATATTATTAATGTAACATAGTACTTGAATTCAATCAGTTATTAACTATTGATAGCAGTATAGCATCAGGATTAGGGGATACTTATTGGTACTGCAATTATAAAGGTATAAACATGGAGATTAACCTTTCTAATTTGTTGTCTATGCAATATTCTGACCTTATAAACAGATTTCCGAAATGGCTTCACAAAAAGATCTTATTGAACCTGCAAAAAGGTTGAATTCACTTGGAACAAATGTGTGGTAAGATGGTTATATATGTGAACAGCCTGAGTCAGGGTAGTTATCTGAAGCATTTTGATATTATATTATATTATAGGGTTGAATTTGGCAAGATAAATGCACAATACAAAACAGTCAATGTTGGTCAGGTAGGAATAGAAATTTCTGGTTTTTAATTAAAACTTTTTAGTGCATTTATGCAGAACATATTTGTTTTTTATTAGGGATTTCCAGATTATCCACCACCAGAATATTTGATAGAAACATTAGCTTCTGCTACAAAATCTGAGAATGACCTAATGCATCAATATACAAGAAGTCAGGTTAGTTTCATTGGAAGTTAGAGACTAGCTTCTATGTATGTAACCAATTCACCACAATCATTGTGACCATATAACCCTCAAAACACTTATTTTTTGAGTTTAGGGTCATCCAAAACTTGTCAAAAGCATAGCTTCATTATTTTCCAAACTTCATGGTAGAGAGATACAGGCCATGAGTGAGGTATGCTGACCCTTTTGTTTTTAGATCTCATAGAGCCATTTGCTTAGTGTTCCAAGAAAGGCAAAAGCCATAGCCAACCAGGTTGAATTGCTCAAGCATGAGTTTAATATTAATACATATGTGCTCTTTTTAGGTGCTCATTACAAATGGAGCATATGAATCTCTTTTTGATGCAATTTCTGCATTTGTAAATGAAGGAGATGAGGTAGGAGACATCTATGTGCCAAACTTAAAACCAATAATTACTCTTTCCTTTAAGATAAGATAATTTTTTGGCCAAGTAGAGATTGATCATGTAATCTGTTAAGATGCAAATGAAGCATTTAGTAAATTAATTGATCATCTCTCCTATTTCTCCTACAAACAGTTCATACAACTGAGTGTACTGCTCAGCAGGTTGTTTTCCAATAGCCAACTTGGCCTCTTCTCTATCTTATTGTAATTTAGGTTATCATCATTGAACCATTCTTTGACTGCTATAAGAAAATGATCAGTTATGTTGGAGGTGTTCCGGTTGGAATCCCACTGAGACCAGTAAGACATACTTTTTAATTATGAGAATTATTTTCGAGGGTTATTTGCTATGTGAAGATGTGGCTCAGTGTGCAGCATTAACTATAAGTTAGACACATGATTGCAAGCTCATCCCTGTCTCATCTGAAATTCACAGTCAAAGGACAACTGGCAGTCTTCCAAAGGCTGGAAAATTGATCCTAAAGAGCTTGAAGCAGCCTTTACCTCAAAGACAAAAGCATTCATCTTCAATACTCCCAATAACCCTTTGGGAAAGGTAATATAGAAACACAAAACACCACTGGAATGTCTCAAGAAACTTGTTTATTCATAGTACAACATGGAGACACCAGAAACTGTCTGAAGATTATTGTGTATCAGGCTAATCTTGTGGTATATTTAGGTGTTCGAGAGAGATGAAATGGAAATGATTGCAAATCTCATTAAGAAACACAATGTCCTTTGTATCAGTGATGAAGTATATGAATGGTTGGTTTATCCAGGAAGTGAACATATCAGAATTAGTAAGTAATAAAGTATATCCTGGCTTTACAACATCAGATTTTCTCTTTGTTGTTAATATGAATCTTTCTTGTCATTCCCATGGATCCCTCTAAAGTGCCTTTGTTGATTTACTGATAGATTGTACTTTTCCATTGACAAATAAAATTGTCATTTTCACTGGCATAAAGAGGAAATAAGTTGCCTGGTTCAGTAAGTTGTTATTTTCTATATAGCAACCCTGCCAGGGATGTGGGATCGCACAGTGACAATTAGCAGTGCTGGCAAGACATTTTCTGCCACAGGGTGGAAGGTATGTTCGTAAAAAGAGCATTAGTGAGTTTTTACAGTGTTGAAAGTATTTAATAATAATAGAAATAATAGTAATATTGTTTCTTACATACAGGTTGGCTGGTCTGTTGGTCCAGAAAAATTGATCTCACACATGGCTTCAGTCCATGCTAATTCTATGTATGTCCTTCCTACACCTACTCAGGTATGGAACCATATTTACTGCATGCCTAGAAACTAAGTTAGGTTTTTCAGAAACACTATATTATAAAGCTGCAAAAAACCAGGAAAGAAATCTTTGTTGTGTATCCAATGTTGATGAAAACAGGACAAGTTCCTAGACAGAAACATTGTTTGTTTGTTTTTTGAAGTAAAAGTGAAGTGTTTTGTGTTTCCTGAAGAATTTTTCCAATACCATGGTGGTTTCCTCAATTCCATTCTCATATTTTTTACTTACTATATATACATGTATGTATAGGAAGCAGTGGCTATTGGATTAGAACGAGAAGCTAAATTACTTGGCAGCAAGGAATCTTATTTTTATGAAATGAAAACATCTTTGTTGAAGAAAAGAGATTTGACAGTGAAAATACTTCGTGATGCTGGTTTTGACCCAGTTGTCCCTGATGGCGGTTATTTTATCATGGCAGATACGTCAAAATTAGGTATTTCGATGTACTTCAACGTTTTCGTGGTTTTTTTGTTAAATTTAGTGTAATTGCACAAGCATGCATCGTTTCGTGAAAAGGGGAGATTCCACCAACATTCTCCTCTGACCATTGTAATACTCGTCTCGTATAGGAATAAAACCACTCGTGTGGGTCTGAACTTTAAATATACTAAATACAACGACGGCTGGGCGTTATGAGCAAAGATCCTTTGTCTCGTAATGTCGTATGTGGAAGATATAAAGTGGAACCTACAGTGACGTGTTTTCTGTACGTATTTTCAGGTGTGACTTTCTCGGGCGAAAGTGATGAACCTTATGATTTTCAGTTTTGTAAATGGATGATTAAAGAAAAGGTAGAACAACAAAATTTTAGCCAATTTTTCTTTCTTCGAACATCCCGAATCTCAAATGACTGTAAGTTTTGAATCGTTTTATTAGGGTATTTCTGCAATTCCACCCAGTGCTTTCTATCATCAGCATGGCGGGGTTGCTGAAAAATTTGCCCGATTTTGTTTCATCAAAGTAGGTAGAACACACCTCGTAAAACAATAATTGTATTTCGCTTCATGACCAATATATTCACTATAAAACTAGATATTTTTCTCATTGACTGAAAAATTCTATTAATTGCAGAAAGACAGTACTCTTCAGATGCTCGATGACGCTTTAAAGAAATGGTAATCGAATATATCATCATCTCCAGGCTTCTCAACAATAGTGATAATTATACCGGCTTGGGAATGCTTGTAAAAGATCCTTTTTACCTATTAATGACTTGTTTTGAACTTAGTAAAACTATCGAATCGCGTAGAAAATTTTGATAGTTCCTTTACATGATTTTGGCATGCTGTAGCAATTAAGTGAACCTTATGTCATAATGAGAACCTATGTAGATGGAAGATTAATAACTCAGTGGTATTTATGAAACGGACATATAATATTTCTGTATTCGTAATACATATTTTCAATAACGTAACTCTATGTGTCACTGTTTCTATTACGCAGTTCTTCATGTTGAACGTGACACCATGACTAGGGGAGGGGGGAGGGGAGTAACCGTGGTTTGGGTCGCGCATGGGAGGGTGTAAAAACTGAATTGAAATGATTGAAATAATTTCAAGCAAGAACCTCATCAAGAAACACGACCTTAATTCTTAATGCCATCTAGAACATTTTCTTTGATATGCATTGCTGCGTCATAAGAATCCACAAACCGCAGTTCCTGATCTGCTGCTATCGTGATTCTTTGGGTCGAGGACGAATTTTCTCGAAGTAAAATTTTCTTTTTGCTGGAAGATATTTCCCGCGATATCGAACAAACGTCCTTTTTAGAACACTCGTAAATGTCCTGTTGGCAAAAAGATAGAACTCGTATTCCATTTGCCAAACTTTGGACTTGTGAAAATATTCTAATGTTTCTGGTTTAAGTTCTTTCTTAGCGAATGTCTTTCGTAAGTGTGAGCGACCACCTAAAAGTACAAAGTTTATGGTAGTTTATTCGATCATCTACTCTTAAGGTCTGTTCACACGATCCAATTTTGTTGGATCCAATTCACCTCTGAGACGTATGAAATATAATTGGTTATTGATAAAGCAGTACTGCATTGGCTTCAGTCAATTTGCTGCTCGTACACATTACAAGACAACAGACTATAAAACATCCATCAGAAGTGAATTGGAACCAACAAAATTGGATCGTGTGAACAGACCTTTACTGTAATTGATTAAAATAAAACAGAGCGGGAAATGTATTTGGCAAATGTACGCTGTAAATTCTGCAAAATATTGGGCCCTTGCTACGTGTTTATTTAATCGATATTGGAAATTTGAAGGCGAATGTTTGCTCTTAAACTAACAGTACTTCAGGCAAAATGAATAATGACGTGGCCGCTATACCATATCGGAAACAAGAAGTTGGTTTCATTGCAAGTTGGAGGTGTTAGCCTCTATGTATATGTAGTTTACCCCATTATTGTGACCATTTAACCCCAACAGGCTTATTTGTTGAGTATATTGAGTGTCATTGATGGATTTGATGGCAAAATTCAACTACAGTAAAAACAGTTAAAGACTTAAAGCCATAATTTACTGTACCTAATATAAATCGTTTAGTTGCTCCTTTAAAAAATCTTGGTAGTACAACCTCCATAACTGCAACAAACTCTGTTAACCTTTCAGTCACACCTACCACCAGGTAATTGTTGACTAAATTTTCTTTTGCTTTTTGCAACGCCCAAGCATTACCAGGCTCCCTTGAGAAAAAAATCCAAAAATATCTACAATACATTTCAGTTCAAATTTAGGACAACTCCAATGATGATGGTATAAGAAATTGTCTAACTGCAAGTATAAATTTAGCGGATTAGGCCATGAGGGTTATGAAAAACGCATTTGGGCTCAGAGTCGTGCATAAACTGCCATATCCTGACTATCTATATGAATGTTCATTGCGATTGTTTGGTCAACTTTCAAAATAAGGTATTATTTCTTACCAGCAGTCTGGATGTTGACCACAAAAGAATGGTATCTGTATCCAAAGTCGTTCCATTTGACAATCTCGATGTCGTCTGATGATACACTCATCAAAACTCTGAAACACAGCAAAAACCATCAGGGGCAGTTTTGTACAACTTCCAACTCCTTTTAAACGAACTCAAATACGCTGACGCAAATGCGATTCTTATTGGCCCTAGCTTATTAAGAGAGCGTCATATACTGAATCGCTTTCGCCCGCGATTAACGTTATATGGACGGTTGGGGGTGCAGGGGCTTCTAAATGTAAAATCGTGGAAAATTTGATATCTAAAATACACTAGGTATTTTTCTACAAAAGACTCTAAAAAACCTACAAAACACTCTTTCTATCTATAGCCGAAGCTTACCTCTTGGTTTCCTTGTCTGGCTCGCTTTAGGCCAGGCCTGAAGTCATCACCATTTCGTAAGAAATAATAGTAGGAAACCAATCTTTCAAGAGGTTTTCTAACAATGTTTATATACAATGGCTTCTTTTCAAAACCAAGTTTTCCAAAGTCTATAAAGGATTGGTGGCCATGGTAAAACGCAGGCATTTTTGCTGTCCATGTGGTGACATTTTTAGCAAATCTTATCTGGTCAGCAATACCCATGACATGATTGTTCTTGCTCACATTGAGGTGAATAACATGAAAGCTATTCTTTGTGCAAAGCGCATACAAAACACCCATGAAGCTTGTACTGCCTGTCTTAGGTACGCGATTGTAGAAGATGATTGTTCTTTCTCCAGCTGGTGCAAGCTGGAAACAGGATTAGAGCAAATATTACTGAATTAACAAATATTAATAACAAATATTAGTAAATGTTATAAAAAAAATATAATAACTAAGGTAAAATATGGGAAAGGGGAATTAGAATATGTTCATTGCTAAAAGAGCAGGTGAAGTTGTCACTAGATGCAGTGCTAAACAACATAATACTGGCAAAATAACTAAATTTTTCAAGACTGTTAACTGATACGTATTCAGTTTATAAATCTCTGAGACAGCATTTCTTGCACTCAGTAGGCACAGCGGCAATTCTATGTATTATCACACTGTCTTTAATTTTATATCTGCTTAGCTTCCTAGCAGTTTCTCTTCATAATACGCACCATAGTTTTGTCTATTTTCATCTCAAATTTGCTTGTTCCAATTGAAAAGTGTGTTTCATCAATATCCTCCTGAAAAAAACCAGAAAATAATGAATTTAGTTTCTCTATCAGAAAAAACCCCCCAGCACATTTACTTGATTTCATGAGGTTGATTATAACAGAAGCAGAAGGTAGAGTAGTCTGGATACAACAATAGGGAAATGCAGAACCTCTCCATCATCTTCAGATTGCCATTCATCAACGCCATCTTTCACAAGGTTTTCAATTTTCTACAAGAGAAGATTAGAACTGGATGTAAGCTCACAGTCAAATTAATATTATTTGAAGTTAAATATTAATAGTATTGTAATGAGATCAAATTTTCAAAACATTTTGACAGTGAATATTTATTGAAGGTATTTTGCCTCACAAGCCAGAAGAACTAGCTCATATATCCACTGATATCTTTCTTACAGGAACTTCAAAAGAATCATGACATAAAGGTGGTAATTTTGGTAACTTATTTTCTTTAAACATGGTTAAAGAAGTAAACAACACTTACTGGGTTGTTCTCATTCATGTCCTCTTCAAAGCCGATGCTTGTTCTGTGGCCAACAGGCACTACAAAACCAAGCCATGTTGAGTACATTCAAGCAGGGCTAATTTCAATAAATGCAATATCACTGCAATACCATTGCAATTATTTTTAGCTTTGTTATTAGAGAAAGGCAAACTGGTTTTAGGCAAACAGTTTTACTTCATACATGTATGCCTAATGTTCAAATATTTATTTTTTACTTTGGCAATGGTAATATGAAAATTTACTATCAGAAAACCAGTAAAATATAAATTATAGAGCAATGCTGTAAATAAATTAGACATGTTACATTAAAATGCAATGCCACATCAATATTTATAGTATATTGATGCTATTTTTTCAACTGTAGATCTCACTGGGCTTAGGTTTAATATTCAAATATATGATTGCATTATTGAATTCGACTATAATTTATAGATAATCTTTTAAAGTATTCCATTTCATTCAATTTCCAATTCATTCTAATTAATCAATGACATAAAAGAATGCAATTGCCCTACAAAATATCTTTGGAAAATTATGATTTTCAGTGACAGTTGGACGCTATATTATAACATTTCCACATAACATTGTTTTTAAAATCTTTAATAACAATATGGAAATCGAAAATCCCACTGTTGGACACTTCAAAACAGGAAATTTGATTTTGCAAACAGCGCGGAACGGTAGTATTCGCCGCTGGAATTACAGTGCACACCCCATGTGTTCTTTCAAAATGTAGATAGAATATCTTTACGATTTTGCGGGGAAATTGGTAAATATCCCACGTAAAATCCAACTTTCAATCATCGACTATTAAAATGAGAATCCGTTTTCCTTTTTTTCATCCCCAAAACAACCAAAAATCCGTTAAACCCAACCCACATGTCATAAAAACGGCGAGAAGCCGAGCAATGCGAAGGTTATCTTACAGCGCAAGGCGAAAAGCTCAGCAAGTCGATTTAACGAGCTTTAGGGGGTTAAACGAGAAAGAACTGCATACCTCTGCTAAGGAGTAAAACTTGTGTTTGTAGACGCTGGATTTGTACTTCTAAAATCACAAATATGCCGACCGCAAAGCTAAGAAGCAACAACTTGCTCGTGGTGTTATTTCGCCAAAACATATTCATGTTGTTCAGCAGCAATTCGACCTTGATCCAAAACCTTTCGACGGGCGAATAAGTTGCATGTATGATACAATATTGAAACAGATTGCACAATCAATATTTACATTACTTTAAATGATCAGTTAAAAGAACCAGAAGATTATACGAACACATCGTGTCAACTTTCAATTACTCCATTAAAATAACACTTCATTTCTTTGCCGAATACAATTGTACTACATCGTCGGCATGCTCCCCCCGGGAAGAAAATTGTGAGTATTAAATTATACTACAAACTCAGCCATACTGCGTATTTCTGCGTATTAGTGATCATGTTACAGTTAAATTGTTGCTTGTAAATGGGAGGTTTTGCAGAGGTTTCGAAGTTTATGCGGACTAGCAGACTACATTATTATTCGTGGTGTGCCTACAACCTAACAATCTCTGGTTATGAAATTGACAAACTAATTATTTTGACCTTGGACTTGGTCCTGGTAACGAATTTCTACAACAATCCGTTTTTCCAACAACCAAAGGCCGCAGTGCTGTGGTTGAAGCCTGAAGGTGGCGCCGTTCATTTCCCCAACTTTTTTACAGGATATTCATAAAAACGAAAATGAAGAGACGGCAGGCATTCATTATGATAATCTTTCCTTAGAAAAGCAGCATGTCATAAACTTGTCCTAGTCTTGGCCTACATCGATTCCCATGCACAACTAGAAAAATCCACCCGAACTGCTCAGTTTGCAATGAAAATTATTATTGAAATATAAATACAGGACATGATGAATACGAAGTTTCCGATTTACATCACAACGTTTAGTGAGAAGGTTATTTGCAGATAAAAATAATTCACACTATAGTTTGTACCAGTATCATGACCCAGTGACCATTTTAATTATTCGGACAGAGTTCTCCGTAATAATATGCTTAGGGTCCGCCCTGAAGTGACCAGCAAATAGTGCATAGTAAATGTTCACGGCATGTTCCGTACCCGATTCTTGACAATTGACAATTACAAAAGCTGTTTTCCGCTAAGGAAAACTATCCTCAGAACTAATCAGATAAATAAATCTCTTTCGTCTGCGAGTCGCGATATGCATTCATACCTTAAGAAAACATTCCTGTCTTTTTGTGTTCCGAGAATACTTTTCTGAGTAGAAACCTCCCTAATTCCACTGCACGTTTCCACTGACCAACTACATTGATCTCAGTTGAAACTATGTTGAAATCAAATACAGTGGATCAGAAACAGCAGGAGAAAAATAGGATGGTGTGACCTTAAGCCCGTTTTCCACAAGGCAAATTCATTCCCGCGAAGCGATATCTGAAAAGCAGTGATGTGATTGGTTTGCTCGTTTGCTTCGCCTCCTACTTTTTATCTGTTCGCGCGGATAAATTCGCCCAGTGGAAAACGGGCTTTAGGGTCAGAAAAAAGAAAATTTCATGCACCAATGAGATTGACGATTGACGATGGACCATTGAAATGAAATATTGCACAGCTACCTCCCACCCGGTTCCCAGCTACAATGAGAACACATGATATACACACACGCTGTCACGAGTGTGAAACACGTGTCTCGTAGAATTTGGCTTACTAGGGTAGCGTTCCAGTAATATTCATTTTAATGCAACGGTCATCCTTTGCTTTACTGAAAACTATTTAAATAGTGGATAGAGTCGAATATTTATGAAGATTAGCGGGCCTATATATTATACAAAAGCAATCAGAATGGATAGATAAGTGACAGTTGGTGAAATAAAAGTGGCACAGTAACTGTAGATTGCCCTCAAGGATTATTGTGTCGACCAGCGAATACAGACATCTCCTTATGAGGACTTCCTTCTTTGACGTTTCCTATAGAAATATTGGACGATGGATGACACAATAGACCTTTCTTATGATGACGTCAAACGCGGAAAGTCTGATGTTACACGAAATTTGATTGGCTCCACAAAACTATCGAGCCAATCAAACTTCGTGTAACATCATACTTTCCGCGTTTGACGTCATTATAAGAAAGGTCTATTGACAGACTCAGATAAAATCAGGTTAGGATAAAGGATAGGGGAGATTATGCCTAATTATATGTTGGCTGCCTATAGTCTACACAATGAATTCATTCTGGAAATTCTTTGAGAAAACTGCAAGAATCCGTGGGTTCGTGTACCTGACTTCTTCCCTCGCCCTCGTATACTCAAACCACAATATACTTGGTATCCTCGTTGAATCACGGATCAAGAAATACTCAGACATTTTCCTGAAAATCAGAACACAAAATTAGAACACACTTACAAGACCTTTAAAATCAAAACACAAATGAGCATACAAAGTTGAGGATAAATTATATTCATAGTGATTGGTACAGTGCAAATTAACTGTTGACCGCAATGCTATTGACATTGAAGGTTATTCGCTTCTGATGTACTCACCATGAGGTGATGACAGGAAATAACTGTGTAAGTAAATTATGAACTATTGAAAACCAAACACTTCCAAAACAAAGTCCTAGTGCCAGTCCCCCAAGTACTTGATGAAGTGTGTGGTAATGTAAATATATCCTACAAGAAATGATAAAAAATTGCTTTGTATCAATGTGTTGGTAAATGTGTCTTTTTGACCTTCATTGGAGCAATCACACCTCAGTGATTGGCATAGTTTCAATGCAGCTTATTAGGAAAGTAGTGTATATAATTTTGCATCTTTCAAGATTCAATCTCTATCAAGATTCAATATGGCAGATTTGTAGAAAACTAAGTAACTGAACTAAGGCTAAAACCTTCACATGGAAGTGGAAGAAACTGGGCAGTTGAAAGCCTTGCTTCCCTTGTATATGTTTACCAGCTGAATTTTTATTACCATCTAATATTAATATTTTTATATAATTATATTAAAAATTTAATACCTTCCAAATGACACTGAAGCAGTAAGACAAAGTAGCCCAAGTGATGTTAAATGTCTCCATAGATTATCAATAAAGTCACTTGATGGTGAAGGAAGTCTGAGAAAAAAAACACAATGCTTTATAGGAGTAAATTATATGAAAATGCTAAATACAAACAGCAACCAGCCTTACCTAACATAAACAAAAAGAAGTGTGTATGTTGTGAAAAATGCAACAAAGGCAGCATGACTTGATGGCATTCCATGTTCAGAATAATGAGTTCCAGGACATCTACATGGGCGTGGTTCCTTAACAACGTTTTTGATTGTTACACTTAGTCCTTCATTCAGGACACACCCAAGAAAGAATGCTATCTGAAAAAAGAGGTTATACATAAATTAGCCTGTGTTGAAGAAGGTGATTTCAGGATATTGCATGGTTAATTTCCAATTATTTGTAGCACTTATTATAAATGAACCAAGATAATACAGATATGCACCGTATGAAGTTCACGTCGAAAGATGATTACAGCAATAAAACCAACTAAAATGAAGATTGGGGATAAACTTAACCAGGCCAAAACCTTTCCAGTTAAATCACCTAAAAATAACATTAAAAGCATTTAGGATTTTAATTGCAAATTACTATAAACTTAAATGAGCCTTAAATTCCTACAATGCACCAAAGCCCCATTAATGTCCCATTTTTCATAATTACACAATTCGCCTACGCACATATTTATCAATTCAGTACCAATTCCTACAAAAACGTGATAAATAGCAATCTCAATCAGATTCCCTCTTTACCGCCTTTTTATGCTACTCCAGCACTAAAAATGCAGTCTAAAATTACTAAAATAACTCATAAATCCCTTGGTGAGTATCTCTTGTTGTCAATATTTAATAATCAACCTAGCCTAGCCTAGGCCAGGAGTTACACATAATCGCAAAAAAACTGCAATTTCAAAGCGAGAGGAAAACAATTTCCAAACCTTCGGGGTATTCTACAAAGGTTAGACCAACAGGTTTCCATTTCCGCTCAGTTTCTGCTAAATACGAATAAAGCACGGATGTTTTAAGGTCGTTTTTGTAACACTTCAGGCGTGACTCATCCGCCGCCATGTTGTTTTTTTTAAAGAAGCTTGTTTATATCCCGTCTGGCATTGCGTCAATCTTCGATCTGGGAAAAATTTCAGGAAGTCTGACAACAATCCGAATTTTCAGGAAATTTTGCAGCCTTGAGCCCTTGAATTTTAGAACAGCCTGCGTGGTTTTGTGATCAGTCCACTAGGTCAGTAAGTTGTTCAATCATTCACACCCTTTTGGTTGAAAATAGGAGTGGGTCCAGTCACACCCATAATCTAACAAAATGGTCCAAAGAGTTGGTCCGATAGACCGATACCACAAGTCCACAATACTGAATAAGTCCCCTCATGTCTGAAAGTTTGATAAAACGTTGCATGTGCATAACCATACTTACCATAGGACTGACTGTCAGCCGTCAGGAGCAACCGGGCCAATTTCAATTGTCCGGCGAGTGGCGACTCACAGTTCAGTTTAATTTAATCTTCAATTAGTGTCAACCATACATCATAGTGCTGACTGTGTAAGCATTTTATATCTAAACTGCGTAACGAAAACGCAAAAAAAGCTCGTAGGAGGTAGGCACTACTCGTATTTTATATATGACGTCAGAAATTACACAACACACCAGGAGCAAGTTGTAGCAAGTAGCGCTATTCGGCCTTCGTAAAACCGGATCCAACAGCTAACATTATAAAACAATTTTGCTTCTGAATTAGGTTAATAGTCAATATCTTCATTCTCACATATTTCAGCTTTTCATAATTTTGGATAGGCCATTTCTGCAAAGATTGTTTTCACTCAGCACGTGTATGATGTAGAAAATAAAAACAAACGCTTCTTTCATCTAAGAAATGGATAAAATTCAACTTATTCAAGCAAGTTTAACCATGGATAATAAAAACACTTGGTTTAACCAAGTCAAGCAATCCATGGTTTAACCGTTTGACATGGAGGATGCCTCCGAAATTTCGAATACCGGAAGTCGGAACCCTAATACAATCACACGTATGACATAGTGTTCATAGAGAGTTTTGGAGTTAACTACGAGTTAACGAACCATTAAACAACCGCCCCAGCTTCCCAGATCTATTACTACCGTTTTACTACCGTTGATTACCCACCCGATTAGCACCTCATTACACGTATATAAGCAGGTTTCATTATCTCTCATTGCCCGTATGTAAGTGCTAACGAAAGATCTGCTGTACCTGCTGGCGCGCTGCCTTCAGAGCAGGCTGGAGTCGACTGACCTTCGTTCCGCTAAAAACCGCGAAACTATAAAATTTGCGCCAGTGTTCCGTGTTCGCCATATTGCTTTGATCACTTTGTGTTCTTTATTAATATCCATTCGTTTATTCGTTGTAATTATTGGAATTTTGCTGTACCGGCTTTGGAACGTTGCAATCAACTCTAGGGTAGCTTTGGGGAAACTTCAAATATGATTGTTTACAAAACATGTGAGTAATTAAAACTGTACTGTGCATTTTTTATAGCAAACATAAAAATATATCACCACTTTTCCTGGGTATTTTGCCTTCGATTTTTTTATTTATTCGCCTTTGCCTGGGTATTTCGATAAGTTTGATAAGTCATGAAATGATTACGATGAAAGCTAACCTTGATTGTTTCGTAAATGGTGATTGTACACTTGGTGTTTTTTAAAAGTCAAATTACTGTATATAATTAATAGGGCACGAGGAAAGAAGTTAAAAACAACATTTAAAGTTGTGGAATATAGAGGGGGACGTGTAAAAAAGTTACCATACCAGTTCATATAACATTACCTGGCCAACCATCTGTTTCGGGGCAAGCGAACACCAGTGATCATAATGTTAAAGATATAGATGAAGGTGATCAGTATGATGGATCAATCATTGACTTTACTGATGTTGCCAAAATGTAATGATGACACACTGAAATTCCCCAATATGGAAAACAATCCCTCCTTAAAACTCGTGTTAGGCAATATCGTAAGAGAAAGGAAGCGGAAATAGAAGCCTGGTCAAACGTACGTGAAAGTATGCTGGATAAATACATCGAAAGCATGGCATTATCCAATGATACCAGTTGCTGCTTTTGTTCAAACATAGCTGAGTGCCGATGCCTTCAATGCGGAATCCTGCAATTAATGTGTGCTGAGTGTTGTAATAAGAAGCACAAGCAGTCTTTGCATGTGCCAGAAATATGGAAGGTAGAGTATAATTATAATGTATAAGCTGCATGAATATAGGTAGGTGAATGTAAATGAACAGCAATGAAAGGATCAAGAATTTCTGGTTTCCAGTTTAATTTCAAAAGAAAAGAAAACCATTTTTTTCAATGACTTAATTTATATAAAATAGAGGGAGCTAGGAAATGATAGTTGATAGTTATTTATATGATAGTTAATTAGACTACCCCTGTTAGTTGGTAGTTTATAGGTATAGCAGGGGAGAATTCCCCATTAACAACAATACTATACATGCTTTAGGTATTTATTTAATTTTGAGCTCACAGCTCAAAACTGGTATATTTTCACCAATATATTCATTCCAGTAATTTCTTGCTACCAAAAATTATTAAAATTTTTATTTATATTATCAGATTGTATGCTTTCAATTATAATTAAATATATATATATATATATATATATATATATATATATATATATATATATATATATATATATATATATATATATATATATATATATATATATATATATATATATATATACACCCGTTTGCAAAAATGTTGGGCTCAAATAAATATATAGATGGATACTCGAAATCTAATTAGAATTGCATGTGTTGTGTAATATGATTGAAATCCCATGCAAATGTAATCATATGCAATTCTAAGTAGACTTTGAGTATCTATCTATCTATCTGCGGCCAACGTTTTTGCAAATGGGTGTACATAAATATATATATATATATATATTATATATATATATATATATATATATATATATATATATATATATATATATATATATATATATATATATATATATATATATATATATATATATATATATATATATATATATATATATATATATATAATATATATATACAAGTAAAAGACACGGTTTTCTGTGGTTTATAGCATACAGTTCTGTTTCGTACAGGACTAGCCTGCACTCCTCAGTGAGGAGTGCAGGCTAGTCCTGTACGAAACAGAACTGTATGCTATAAACCACAGAAAACCGTGTCTTTTACTTGTTTTATTTCGCTCTACTTAACGGTATTGAGCACTCTGGATACGCTAATAGAACTCTTCTATTTATATTTATATATATATATATATAATATATATATATATATATATATATATAATAATATATATATAAATATATATAATATATATATATATATATATATATATATATATATATATTATTTGATTTTTTATTGTAGGATGATAGGTTTGAGGTTTTTGTTTTTGAAAGAGATGTGTGGAGAAAACCTGATGTGAATGATTTAAGTGGCTATGTTGAAGAAATTACTGTTGTTAATTCATCTGGTATGGTGTTTGATGTACATATATTTCTATTCCTAAATTGTCTGAATTCTTTACTGTAAAAAAACATTTTGTAACAGTTGCTTTTAGAAAACAAGCTGACAGGTACCCAATAAAAAATATAAGGTATATCTTTAATCTTACTGCTATTAATTATGTTTTGTAGGAGTTCAAATCAAAACATCTGTAATGTTTTATTATGATGAGGAACCATGCCTAACCCTTATTGGTTATGGAATGTGGCCAGCTACACCTAAAGAGCCAAAGGTTGCATTTGAGATCCATCTACTTGAAATAGCTGAAGTACTCTTCCTGGAGTGCCGTTTGTCTACAAAGCAATTTTGCAATGCCCTAAAGTGGTTATGTCCAGATCTTTCTCCAGCTTATGTAAGTAACTGACATAATTACTGTATATTATATTTTGTTATATTATATTATATATATATATATAATCTAATCAAAGAGGTTTATTTATGTTTATGTATATGCAAATGTGGTAACTATTAAGTAATGTGGCATTAACCTTTTCTACTAGGTAAAAGACATTTACCGACTACTTGTTGGCGAGTGCTTCACAGAATTTAGATTCATGCGACATCAGTTTAGGACACTAAAAAAACTCAACCCTCAGCTTGTAGATGATGGAACTATATGTCCAGCATGTCCCAAAGTGAGTCGATTTCGTTTGCTTAATATTTCCCATAATACTTCCCATAAGCCTGGATGCAGGAAAAACTCATATCAAAATCTTTATCCATTCCAAGGAAAAAGGAACTGTGCATATTTCTGTCGACGCACTTTTTGGGTGTGTAAGAAAAAAAAGTTCTGGCGAGAGCACTGCTCCTCCGAAGCATGGTGAGACATTTTTTATCTCGCAAGACAAAGTTGATTCATTCACCAATTCCTATGGAAAAAAGAAAGATGTGAAATTAGAGAATGTAAGAAAACTGTAACTGAATTATAATCTAAATTCATTCTAAATATGAATTATCCCGCTTTTCATTTCATTCTATGATTATGTCCGTGTTTAACAAACTCCTTTTTTTCTTGCCCTAATCTAAAACTCTGCATGAATATTTTCGTCAAGGAGTGCAACCAATTTCAAGCCGGAACAAATTTAAGATCCAAAGTAAAGTCCAACAAGCTGGATGAAACAGCTGTTTTTGGATGTTCTTGTCGCCATGAATTTCCTAACACCTTCTTTAGTCTTAAACGTGGAGAGCAGTAAGTATATATTTCAGCTAACTACTGTATTATTTTAATGGATTAACTGACGGATTTTAATTCAGCATTAACTACTGTATTACAGTAAGGACTTCACAGCATCATTAGACTTTTCGTAAACTTTCTTTAAAATGACTGTTTAATAATTATTTTACTAGAATATCAAATGCGGTGTTTCTATTAAAACACGTAAAGGAGAAAATTTCACATCCTTCGGTGAAGTTAAATTTTTTGTATGATATTGCTTGCACTTTGGAGTCTCATTTAAAGGTTTGTTAAATAGACCTTAGAAGTGTTTAAATCCACAGT